GTTTGTCCCTATGTATGCTTAGATCTTTAAAACTACGCATCGGATTGTTATGCGGGTTTCTTTAATAGATTAGAGTGATTCAAGAGGAAGGTTTATATCTATAATTCATGCTTAATATATTAAGAGGCACACTAATAATTTTAGAGGTTTCTAATGCGATGTCTAAAAACATTCATCATTGCCCCCGTGCGAAGCCGGGGCGGGTCGCTAGTTAGATATACATAAAATATTTTTTTGATAGTTCAATTAATGAACAATTGGAGTGTTCGAAAGAGGCTCTCTCAAATTTATAAGAAATTTGAGTACGATAAGATCATTTAAAGGATTTTATTAAACTATTCAATAAAAAGGAATAATGTGTCATTGATCTAAGAGTTTGTAAAAATTACGTATTGTTTTGCTTTACTATTGAAAAGCGAAGCCTAAAGTTATAGTTTGAAGACTTGAGTTTAAGTGAAAGTTGTTACTAACAACCCTTAGAATGTTACATACATACAGCCATTGAGAAACTAAATAAAACTCAATGAAATCCTTGATTAAGGACCTATATAGAAATAAATTGAAAATTAGTCGCAAATTCAAGACAGCCATATTTCATCAACTTCTTCTTATTTGACCTTTCTAATAAGCAACGTTTTTATACGACATTAACCGAATGTTTATTAAAATATGGCACATCTTCAATGATGTGAACCCATAACTCGGTAGAACGATATTGTAAGGAATGCTGCCAAAATAGAAATATTGTTCACCATATACGTTTCAGTAAGACAATTAGGCTGCTTTTCTACTTTCCAGTTTAAGGTAAATGTCCTCGAAAGGTAAAATTGTTCACCCTGTCATCTTCATAAAAACCGGCCAAGTGCGAGTCGGACTCGAGGAACGATGGGTTCCGTACCATCTATAAAAACGGCAAAAACAATCATGTCTGCTGTATGTCCGTCTTAAATATTTTTTTTAATATTTGTTGTTATAGCGGCAAGAGAACTATATCATCTGTGAAAATTTCAACTGTCCTGTATCGTCAGATACAGCCTGGTGACAGACTGACAGACACAGTCAGCGGAGTCTAAATATTGGAGTCCTTTTTTACCCTTTAAGTACGGTTTCTCGATAAAATTATTTTGATGATGATGATCATCAAAATTATTTTATTACATAATTATACGAGTTTGGTGACACTGGCCGTTAGTTATACTCGTATAGAGAAAATGGAGATGAAGTTCTTTATAGATTGTGTTTTTTTTTCTGCTTTACATGTATTAAACGTGTTCGAAGCCTTGTACATATTAAAAGGTAAATCAGATAATCTTTTGAAGCCTATCAAGAATAGGGTATTACCTAATTTTGAAAAGAATTATTTATTAAATTTTTAAATCAGATTATTGTCGTAAATATTTTAGAGTTTTCAGTATTGAAGTTATGTCAGGTGTCTCAACGGTTAAAACTTTCCCTGTCGCGTTGAATATTCTAATCCCTGCAATTGACAAATGCCTGCGGCACCGTTTTTAAAGCATATAAGCACGTAATGGTAAATCATGGTCATAAACCGATTTATAGGAAACGACGAGTATCTATGCCATTCTATATAACCAGCGTTCTTATATCGCAGTGTCGTCACGCGAACTCTTTATTCAAATCAAAACCGTACGGTTATGTACCTAAATGCGCATCGTTAAAGGAGTTCAATTCGTATTGACATAAAAATAAGGACACATATTTCGCGACAAATTTGTCGCGTACCTTCGCAAGTACAAGTCTGCTCTGATTGTTTATTGAATTTCGCGTATTTGTATTTAGTGTGGAAGAGGTTGGGGATTAAGTCCCAGCGACCACTGTGACCTTGAAGATCTATCGCAGTCTTCTTCAAAGACATTTCGTTTCGTTGATAAACGGTTTGTTTTATGTGACAATGTGAAAAGCGAGCTGGCAGTTCATCTGATGCTATGTGAAAATTGCCACCCATGGACTTTGCAACACCCGTAGGTGTGTCTATATGTAGCCACTTTTTAATAAAATGGGCTCCGACCACCTCACTCACCAGACGAAACGCAGAAGCATAAAACTTCGACTTCACGCCGGTCTTCTGTGAGTGCGTGGTACTCCCCCGGAGGGAACTGCCCATTCGTGCAACAGCGAAATCTGCTGGGTGGCCCTACCACAGTTAAAAGTATGACTAAGGAACTAATTTATTCGCTCCCCGATTATTATTTCAATAACGGTCAACGTTACTTCATCGAACATGCGGTTATTTATAAACACAATATCGTCAAAGCCATAACATTGTAAAGATTACCAGTTAAACTAACAATGTAATGTTATATAGCCTTTAGAATTTTATTATCACACACAATGAAATGCTTCATACTGAACACAGGACCTGATTTGATAAGGGCACTCGAAACGGTTTCTGCGAACCTCAGACAAAATAGTTTACACTGGCATGTTTCCATTATACCATTCGGTACACCCGATACCTAACATTCTAAGAAACTCCCATTAAACGTACAATCAAGAAGAAGTCATAACAACCAAAAATATGTACATAGCAACAATTGATCCGTCCATATTATTCTTATTACAAACAACTTGTTTAATTCTATAACGTTATCATTACATAGTATAAAACAAAGTCGTCCCGCTGTCTGTCTGTCCCTACGTAGGCTTAGATCTTAAAAACTACGTAACGGATCTTGATGAGGTTTTTTTACGAGATAGAGAGATTCAAGAGGAAAGTTTATAATTATGTATAATACATTGCAACCGCGTGAAGCCCGGGCGGGTCGCTAGTCCTTACTTATATTATAAAGGCGAAAGTTTGTATGTATGGATGGATGTTTTTTACTCTTTCACACAAAAACTACGGAATAGATTTTAATGAAAATTTAAAATACAACAGAATAACACATAGGCAATAATGTATAAAGATATTGTGTGATAGTGGATGAGGTAATGATAAGTGTCAACTAAGTAGAGTATAATAAAAACTTTATTGATAATTTCCTCTGGCCACGCGAGTGAAACCGCGGATAACAGCTAGTTTCTTAGAATTGTATATAAAAGTTTTGCTTCTATATGTTTGTGTCCACAAAACTCAATAACTGATAACTGGATTGACTTGATATTTGTTCACAACATAGGTACTGAACAGCAGTTTTTTTATATACTCTCTAATAAGATGTTCAACGGAAACGGAAATAAAAAAGCCACAGCGAACTGTGGTCGAATTTAACTAGCTGTTAAATAAATAGGCGTACATAATATTTTGAATGTATGAATTAATAAATATGAATTTATGAATTTCAAGTAACCCCCTGACACATGAAACTCAAATTATGTAACTCTAGTCTGATTTCGAAAGAAAAAAGACGCACCATAACCTATCCATTCGTTTAGAAGCTACGATGCCAATGACAGACGCAAAGATAAACAGATAGACACGTCTAAAGGCCCATTTACATGATGCCAGTTTCTTGCCTGTTGTATACAATTAAATTGAAGCAATAAATGAGTTGCATGGTCTAAACAACAAATGGTCTAAACAATTATTGCGCGCAATTTATTGCATTCAATTATTGCTCTTGTATGTTCAAGAAAATGGCATCGTGTAAATGGGCCTTTACTTATAACTGCCCTCTTTTTACGTTGGGAGTTAAAAACTATTTTACGGGCGGTACTGTCAGAAAGGACTGTTCCGTAAATCCCATGTAATCAGTAGTGTTGCTCTGATATACTATCTCAAAAATAGCCACATCCATCATGTAATACCGGAAGATCAAGACTTCACTGGTGACGCTAGATTATAGCTAACACGTTTGTGCACAGCTAATTACATTGTAATGCCTCAATGTAGACAAACAGAGGTTTTATATAACCACATAAATGTCTGTCAATTCGCAGTGGAGTCGAGTGGTGGGCAACTTTGCCCAGTTGTGGGACGTATATATGGTGGTACTTTACTTTTTTTACATAAACGAATAGATATTGTTAAAGTAACAATAACATTACTCATTGAGAACTCTTTTGTGTAAAGTCTTCAATCGCGACACTATTTACATTATTATTTTTGGAATTATTTTTTTCCTTTGGAGTGAACTGTAGATTCAACGCTTTTTAAGCGCATAAGCGGTGGACCGTTTTGTGTATGTGATTGCAAAAGTAGACTTTTGAATATTCATCAGAAAAACAGTGTTTCCATAGGGGATAATTAAATATGAAAAAGTGAGAAACGAAGAATAAATAATGAACAAAACTAAAAAATAACTTAAAATAATCGAGAACGGTATAAAGTAACCAGTTGACCCGTGCTGAAATTTTCACACCAGTACCGGGAGCAGTCACAGAATGGGTCATATAATAATGTGCAAAAAACAGATAATTTAGGACACATTTTTACACAACTCTAATCCCAAACTAAGCAACGCTTGTAATATGGTTACTAGATATCTGATAAACATACTTTTCTTTTGTAAATAAATACATATTATACATATATAAGCACCCAGACACTAGAAAAACACTATGTTCATCACACAATATTTTTCCAGTAGTGGGGATCGAACCCACATCCTCTGGCGCAGGAGGCAGGTACACAACCCACTACTCCATTCGGGTCGTAAATGCATATCAATCAATGAAAGGGATCATATTTTTAGGAACGACGTTTTTGATTTTCCTCTTAAATTAAACAATTAAATAGTATTGATTCTTTCTTAGAAATTAAAAAAAAAACGATATTTATGAAATATCTATTTTCCGTCGATAGCGGAAAACATAATCTATAAAACGGCGTAATCTATAAAATGGTTAGATTTGATGTAGAATTATGGAAGTTATGGCGTAGCGACAACACACCTTTGAGGAATGTTACAATATCAACTAACGTAAGCTTTAAAATGGTGTTCGAATACATTACACACAATAGATTACACCAGCGAGTAGCAAGGCAGTCGTTTCTCTAGAACGTTCTAGAAGGAGAGAGGGAATAGAGAGCGACTCACTTGTGTCCCTCGTACAGGAGGAGGGCCGACCGCCAGTGGCGGCAGACCGAAGTGGCGGCCAATGCGTCCTCCGTGCTCAGGTGCTCCAACACGCACCTGAGAGGAAGCAGCGGCAAGCCGCCCCAGTCCGCCGACGACATCTGACCAAAAAAAAGTAAAAGTAAAGTAACAGCCTACACATATCCCACAGCTGGGCAAAGGCCTCCTCTTTACAGGAGGAATCAGGGCATAGTCCACCACGCGCCCCCGCTGCGAATTGGCGAACTTCACGTATCTTCGAAGTATTTTTTTTGTTGTTATTATTTCGAAAATATGCAGGTTTCGTCACGATGTTTTCCTTCACCGTTGAGCAAGTTGTACAGTCAGCACTTAAAATTAACAACTTCATTGGTGCTGGCACCGGGGTTCGAACTCAGGTTGCTCGAGTATATTGAATTAAAGGTGAGCGCCCGGACACTGGGCTTTCACGGCTCTGATAGCTGACGGCAGTAACAAAACTAGCTTATTTTGGAAAACATAGACAATTTTCATTATAAGATTAGACAAGTAAGCCCCTGCAATTTGTGGTGGCAGTGTTGGTGGTAGCCCTCGGTGCGTTGGGAGAGCCCTCGAGAATTACGGAATGCACTGGTATTTATTGTTTGTTAAAATAATATATTATTACATATAATATGGTACTTTAAAATGAGGTGTAAAGTATTAGATGTATATAAAAGAACAAATATACAAAGATATTTGAACTTGTAAAATAAAGATTGATCTGTCCAGCTAATTTGAAGCAATGATTTAGTTTCTTTGGCTTGGAATCTCGGTAAATGCCCTATAGATGTTAAAACAAGCACAGCAATAAACAAGTCATCAATAAGTAGGCATTGGTTTTAGTTTTAGTAGTTTAGAGTTGGAATTGAATGAATTTTGAAAAGGCTATATAGTACTTTGAATTAACTAATGTGACTAACTAAGAGTTAATTTCAAAAGGTCTGAGCTCAGGTGAAACCACAAGCAAAAGTCACACTTTATTAATATTATTATTTATTTATTAAAAAAATCGCAAATACCAAGAGAAATGTAGTGTACAACACAAGAATAAATTAAATTTAGTTCATCAAAAAATTTAGTGTTATGTAAGTATCTGATTTAGATATCTAATGTTAATGCTGGATCATATTTAAAATTAATTAACAACATTATATTTGTATTTAAAATATTATCAAATCAATATTATTAGCATTTACAAAAAACCTATGTTGACTTATTGAATTGTTTACACATTGTAAAAATATGTTACAGTTAATTTTGTGTAGTTAATATTGTCAACCTGACCTCAGAAAATGTTTTTCACCTGAGGCATGCAATGCAGTAACATAAACATATTCCTATCCACTCGCTAAGAAGTAACACAAGCTTCTTACTTCATTCACTTCCTACTCAATTAATAACTCGTCAGTACCGTGAATATGCGGAAATCCGTGTGATTAAAATGTTCTTGATTAACAATAAAACTGCATAAGACAAACAAATGTAAACTTTAAAGTACCAATAACAAAGCTTAATATGCAATGAATATTGTAGCAAAAGTTGCCTTCTGCTTACCGCATTTGGACAAAGATATCAAAGGGCTATTATGAATTTAAACATGATATTAGACTTCAAAGTTTAGAGCTTAATTCAATATACTCGAGTAACCAGAGTTCAAATCCTGGTGACAGCAGCAATGAATAATTTTAAGTGCTGATATATGAATAATTTTAAGTGTTGCTATAGATGAACTTAGAAATTAGTTTTTTTTCTAAGCTTAGCTTTCATTCCTTTCAACAATTCAAATCAAAATTGCAAAAATAAATAATGATACAGATAAATACTTACTTGATTTGCTTTTAGCACTTTAATTGTGATTATTGGTTACCTTGTATTAAATTAAATAGCAGTAAAATATCTTAATCAAATAACATCATGTGCATGTAAATGTTTAACAAACAATTTTGAAGGAAATTGTAAAATAGAGATAAGCTATATAGGTCAGGTACTAAAGAACTGAGGCATTTATTTTCCTACACTAAACATTTAAAATAGAATGGAAAACTATTTAAAGATAAGTGCATTATGGTGCTTACAATGCTTATTACATTCTTGAGTTTGCATCAATGCAAGACAAGAGTGCAGTCAAGCACTTAAGATAAACAAGGATGATTAAATAATGAATCTCTACAAATCTATTACGAAATTCATTTGCAGAAAAAAATATAGCAAAAATGCACTTATGATTGTAATTTTTTGGGCAACTAATTTATGTGCTATATCTGTACAGGCAGTAGTTAAACAACATGTAATTGGTGCTCAATCAACAAACCTAACTATTAGTTTTAAAATTATAATTACAGTGCTTAGGACTTTGAATATTTACATATTATCCAACATTAGTAATATTTAAAGATAATTAAACATATTTGTACTAAGTGATGTGTGGTCTAACATCTCAAGAATGTAATGCGCTGATGCTCACCAGAGGCCACTGAATTAGCTAATATTGCTAATGAAAATTTTAGCTTCATATTTAATTACTAGGCTTGCCGATTCAACTATTTACATACAGTGGTGGTCATATAATTAAAAACACTTCTTATGAATAAAGAACATACAAATGTTCGTAAAAAAAATATACACATTCAAAAATTAATAATCAATAGCCACTCAAATAAATAACTCATTAAATGCAAAGATATAAAACATCTTATTTTAATTACAAAATGAGTCTTGAACATGTAGGAGCTTTAGAATTATCGTTGTAAAATGGATGCACCAAGATTGCTTCAAATGCTAATAAACAAAGTAGATAAAAGACGTTAAGATTTTCGTCGCTGTGGCAATCAGCTGTTTAGCTTAGTGGTTAAAGCATCAGGCCGCGAATGCCGAAGACGTGTGTTCGATTCCCACAGCGGCGACAATCTTTTCATACTTTTTCTACATATTTTAATATTAAATCTTAAGTGCAAAGATTAGCGCTATAAACAATTTAAATTTATGTAGGAGTTTATTTTCTGTTACTGGTTGCTTGGACGCCTAATGAGAAACATTTTAAAAAAGCATCCATAACTCTTTCTTTTTTTGAAATTGGAGAATAAGCTTTTTCTATTATTTTGGCCGTAGGGTAATATTGAAACTGCACTTGTGTTATGGGATTTATATTGTTTTGCTAATAAATGATAAATTGTTGAACATATTATTGTAAAATTTAATAATAAATTTTAAAATAAAAATGATTGCAGGGAAGTATCTTACATAATGTCAAGGACCATGGTAGTGTTTCTAATTATACAACCACCAGCCACCGTATATCTATATCATATTCTATCCAAGTAGACAGACTATCATGTAATATTTTATTAAAAATAACTGTAAGTATAACTATTATTAAAGAATTTGCATCATCCAATATAATAGAAATACAATAACATCAATAATTGATTAAGAGAAGATGTCTAACATTGTGTATGAATATTATTAATAAAATAAAGGTAAAACAGTTTTTAATCAACCTTGGGCACAGAAGACATTTAAAATATGTAAATTGGATTTTATCCATTAAAAAGAAAAATTTAAATATTTTTATTAAATACATTCACTGCTTATAGATTTTATAAAAATATTTTGATAATTTAACTTATAGAATTGTAATTTAAATTGTAATTAAGAAAACGCAGTTATAAAAGATCCTCATTGTAATAGAATCTTTTTTCGTCGAAGTATTTTTTGCTTTAGAAATATATATTTACCATAATCTTGAAATACACATTCAAAAAGTATTATGAAGTAAAATACAGGCAATCAACAAAATTTATAACTACCTTCCACTACCAAAAGGGTAAAAACACAAATACTTTTAAAAATATATGACTGAATTAAAACTTGGAACACATTCAATATCGGAAATAGGTCATTTGACTTTTTATAAAAAAAAAATTAAGTCCTCTTCGATGAGTTGCTTTTAAAAGGGTAATAAAAAACGAGCAATGCAAAATCCTCAGCTGTTAGGCCCAAGGCGTGACGACGTAACAGCTGTTTTTATGAAAGTAGGCTAAAATAAAAACATTGGAAACTGCGTAATTTCTCCTGACCTTGTAGTTATGGTCGTTCACATAAAATAAACTAAACATTTTAACTTTAGATGAATAAATAAAGAAGAAAAAATGAAATTAGAGAAAAATTCATATTTAATAAGGCGCAAACAAAGAAAGGTCACATATACCATTGGATTACTTACCATGAAAAATTTTTATTTGCTATATTTGGAATTAAATGTGGTTTTATTCTCCTTTCGCTAATGAGGACACTGATTAATATAATTAAGGAGAAAGTCGCTAAGTTCTTTTACACGTCCATTTTCATTCACATTATCGCGCAAATTAACGAACGAAAGGAAACAATTTGATACATAGATTCGAAGATTATAAATACGAAGACGAAGATTGTAACATTGAATACAGAATTACAGATTCAAAATGCTAGACCATAAACTTCATTGGAAGGAATATAACATTTATTATTTCTACACAGCCATGTTGAACATTGAATTTATTATAATGTGTTTACATTTTCCCAGTAAAAATAAAATATTTCATTTTTAAGGTACCTAATTTCAATAGACAAATAATGTTATAGGACGCAACACTGTAACCTTAATGGCGGACAAAAATCAATTTTGAAATGTGACAGATGATTGTCGCTGAAAGTCGCATTAAAATTAAATGCGGAGAAATATAATAAATTTAACACAGTACATGATTTTTAAAAATTATTTTCCTATAGAACTAAGAAGCTTAAAACGTAAATTCAATTTGTGTGTTACAAAAAACATTCCATCTCTGTTACACGAGTTATTGTGATCGATGATGTAAGAACAAGTAACTACAGAACTTAGTCAGAGTTTCATTGTTTAGTTTTAGTATTAACCGCGTAACGCAGTATACATCACGATGGAATGTGAAGAAGGAAATCACGAAAAAGAAGAAAAAGAAAGCAGTTCCCATTCGTCTCCCCAAGAACATAAATCTTTTGCTGAATTTGCAAAGGATAAATTGGACAGTGGTGCGTATACAACAGCAATAAATAACATATTATAATAATTAATTCAATAAAATGTTCTTCAATGTTATAATAGGAGTAATATAGTGGCTTCATTCTGGAGAGTTTTCATAGAGTTCACACATATTTTTGTTAAAAAAATGCACAATTAATGCAGGTGACCATCATCCATGTCATTATCCAGCACAAATTTCTTTTGGATCTAGTGTTAAAATTATATGTGAATTATTCAGAATCCAGGAAATAGATGATACTTATGCATCCCAAACAATTTATTTCCGCCATTATGTCATTCTCTCAATGATTATCTCACTCGAAAGTGTATTTGCCTGCTGTGATCAGTATCTTTTTCATATTCCTGTGTATGATTATTTTTGAGTACAAAGTAAGTAAATATAGTACTTTTCCATTGTTAATGGTTCAGTTTTTCTAAACAAATAAATACTGTGTTATGTTCAATAACTTATATGCACATGTTAACAATAATTTTACTATTTAGCATTAAAACTCATTACCCGTAATTTTTTGGACAGAAAAATTACTTCCATACACAATAATGATCTTAAAGATAAATTCCTTTGTTTATAACTTTGCTAACCTAACACATAAATAATGTTGTATTTATAAATAACTAACAATGTAATATGATACTGATCCATCTATTCACATTTAAAGGTTAGGTAAAAGTAGGTACATAGTTTTAATAAAAATCATGACAAACAATTTTATTTCATAGAATCATGTTTCTAGTAAATCTTACATTCATTTATATATAAACGTACTAGTGGACCGGACAAACATCCTTTACACGAGACTTAAATCCGGCAACAAATTATAATAAAAAAAAAAAAATAGTAGTGGACTGAATTGTCAACCTAAACCATTTTCGAATCAACCTGAAGGCAAACAGAAAAATTTCACTAAAAACGTTTCGGAGGAGTTCAGTGACACACACTTACAGAAGAATTATATATACAAATGTATATGCAATACTTGGATCTAAAAAAATGTTAATCTTAGCTATGATCATGGCAACCAAGCATGATGAAGTTGGTTGGAACCAACTGCATCATGGTGCTTTTTGAGGGTCGGTGTGCACGCGCATCATAAAAATTTTACTTTCATACTTATTCGAAATGTGCCAAATAATTTTAAAAAATCGTTTTTGCAGAGTTTATATAGAACTCATCTAACAGAAAATTTATCCAAAATGAAAACCCAAAGAGAAAAAAATTTTGGAAAAGGAAAACATCGTGAGGAAACCGGCATATTTTCGAAATAACAAAAAAATAGAAACAATATTTCGAAGATATGTGAAGTTCGCCAATTCGCAATGGGGCCGCGTGGTGGACTATGCCCTGATGCCCTCTGCAAAAGAGGAGGCCTTTGCCCTGCAGTGGGCTGTCACTTTACTTTTTTACAGCTGGCAGGGAGCTCCGCAGACGCCTCCCGATGGCCGGCCAGATCGGCGCACACCTGATGCATCCGCGTCGGCTGCTGCTGCACTCGACGCCCACCCAGCAAACGGATGTGGTGCTCATATTTCCCAAAGGTAAGGGGTTTTGGTTTCACAATGCATCATCAGCAGACCACCTGTTACGTCCCCCGCTTTAATTTAACTGCTATAGTCATCGTCGGTTTATCCTGGATTGTTTGTCACATGTGCTTCGCTTTATTACCATGATGAACTACTATGTATTTTTCCGTATACACATTTCGTTCGAGAATACACATTTCTTTTCGCATCTAGTAATGAATTTAATTAATATTGCTGGAATATTCAAAACACCGAGAATTTAACACGTAAAACTTATAGGCGATATAAATCGAGACAACATAAATATTTATCTTTACCCTAAGTATTTTATAACTTTTTAAAAATTTTAATTAATAATTACAAAAAACACCTGGCTGCGAGATAATACATTTTTAATAATGTTTATACTATAGATAAAGCGCTAGACAGAATTATGTAGTTTAGTCTCAGAAACCCTCAAAGCCCAAAAATATACTTACAAAGAGACATGTTTAAAAGATTCAAACTCGACCTCGTTATAGTAGTAGGTTCTTATTCTTCGGGCGCTTTTAACGCTGAATGTTGAATGTTTTTTGACATGCCCGTTTTTCATCGCAATTGCTTTTATTTATTTTTTTGTGTCCCCTTTGTCATAGACAATAATCGAGATTTTTTCTCCTAAATTTCATATACATATCGCATATTTCAAATTCACTTTGTACAAGATAGTTTCGAGTCTCCTTCGTTGTTGCGGGTTCGGCAATGACCTATTTTTCATTTATTTCTCTGAGACAATGTTTATTTAAATATGATTGATAAATATGACACAATAATCACACTATTTGAACGCAATAACATAAAACTTAAAACAAGACATTCTAACGACATTGGAAAAACGATTTATTATCAAAGTGAAGATTTATTATCAAAGCGAAAATGTCTTCAATCAATCAATCTTCCAAGCTCTAATGAAACTGCCACTGGTTCGCTGAATTACAATTCCTTTTACATGATTTTGACAGTTACACAAGGAATTTTCTATAAATTTCTGATCCTGAAAATTGAAACCCTCTGTATATGGAAGCACTGATAAATAAAATTTATTCATTTATTTGTTTAAAAAATATTGTTTACACCCCGACATAAGGCTAAACAAAAGGCCAACTTAATGCTAACAAGCATTCATAATGCTGATAACATTCATGATGCTATTTCTATAATAGAACTCCAGTTAAAACTTGCAACACTCCGATGTTGAAGTTTTAAGTCTCGAGTCCCAACTACGACCGTTTGGCAACTTGCTCGCTGTTATACTCCGAAGGTCATTGAACCCATTGCCGCTAACAGATACTGCTACTTGGCTATTTCGTTCTCCGGGAAAGTTGCCAAAATGCTATCAAACTCAACTGGGAGGCTTCTATTCTCTCAGTGGAAGTTTTATTCGCTCAGTAGAGAATAGATTTGTCGTTCTTTATTAATCGTCAGTTGACTTGATATATCGATACTAATTTTATCCAGAATATGTTACATGAAACAATTTTACGGACTTTATCGCATTTTGTTTTGATTTAAGATACCCGACGCTTCGAACACTTCACAGCGTAGCAGCAAACAAAACATGTATAATTGATCTCATATCCTGTGTAGTTATCAGGATTATGTTTAAAAGTGTAATATACACTATCTGCACTAATATTATAAAGATAACCTAAAATGGAATAACGTAACCCAAAGTATCAAAATGTTGCCTATTAAAGACATTATTCTGCGTGCGTTGCTAAAAATATTAACGATATATAAAATAGTGTTCTATATATTAATAGTTCTCATGATTACTCACAAAAAATTCAGGGATAGTGTATGCCTAACTGTTATAAATAAGCCACAATAACAGGTTTTGTTTAAATTATGAAAGTCAAATACTGGTGGAATCGAATAGTGATGATATTTGTTATATAACATGATATTTATCCTTATCCATTTTAATGTATAAATAATGGACTGTGATTATCAGTGGCGGACTAATGCCCGATTCCTATATTAACCGAACGACCGTTAGTTACATAGATTCGTAACTTTCATAACGACTTGTAGATAAAAGGCGTGTACACCCGGTTCATATTAACAAAACGAGGCGTTTTCCTTACGAGCCGTTGCATTACTTACGGAAAGTGAGTTACTACTGTTCCTTTAATCTACAAGTCGTTATGTAAGTTACGAAGCTATGTAACTAACGGCTGTTCGTTGTATATAGGAACCGGGTATACACGCCTATCAGAGGCCCGGGGCGGCAAATCTGAATGAAGCCCCCCTAGTTTAAGATGTTGATCTAATTGCCAGCTTTTTACTTAAACTTTCCACTTCACATTCGTAACAGCGTTTGTGTTTATTTTATTAAAATTTTTCATGTCAAATTTAAATTGGACTGAAATAAACATTCATTACAGCTATATGTATTATTTTACTCTTATTGCTATTTTGATGAGGTACTCTATATCCATATATGGAGGAGGAAAATAAAATACGTTTTATTTTCCTCATCCATATCGATATAGATATCCATATCCATAAATAGAGATTCCATCGGCAAAAACTCAATTAGTAAAAATAAACGTTAGTCTAAAATAGGAAGCATACTGCTATTACTTCCGGAAAACGATGCGAGGCTATTGAAATTTTTTTAAGAATAATTTCATGAATTCCATAATGGAATGAGTTTTCTGATTTTCTAGATTTTAAGCCTGTTTTCAAGTCAATTAGGTAGTAGTATTTGGACGATCAATAAGTGTAATGCATCTATATTGAATAAATATCTATGAATTTGAATTGTTCATACTGATCAACTTAAATGTCTTTACTGTTATTATCAGACAGTTTTCGTCCGGAAGGAAATTAGCGTAGAATATATTTTTTTAATTAAACGATACGCCAATTAATTGCTCTTGAAATGCTCCATTACAATCCGTAATGGCTCCACGTTTATTACTACTGTTCATTAATTTAAAAAAAATTAAAAAATTTAATTTTCGAAAAATTAATTTTGCTATAAAACATAAAATATCCACTTTTATGTATTATATATTGCTCTTAATTTGCTAAATTTAATGTACGAAACACGGGTTGTAATTCTTTTTTATCTTCAGTCTTTTATTTTTGAAATCATTTGTAACCCCTACTGTTTTAATAGATCTTTGGACTCGTTTAGCATATACCTATGTAATTAATTTTAATTTCTTATTTCGATTAAACTTTTTAAAAGTTTACTTAGTGAAATACTAGCTTTCAATACGTCATTATTTTCATGCTGTAAAGCTACTTATAAAAAATAAGCTAAATATAAAAAAAATATGTAAATGATGTAACAATGGCTGTAAATGTAGATCATCAGTCTTTTAGCTTGGTGGTGAAAGCGTCTCGTTGGGAATCCCGAAGATGTGGGTTCGATTCCCACAGCGGCGGAAACCTGTCCAGAGAAGAACCGACAAGAAGTTTTGCGGTGTTATTATCTTTATAATATAATTCTTCCGTATCTGTGTATGTCACTAAACTCCTAAACGGCTGAATGAAATTCCAATTTCCTTTATGTCACTTGCATCACTAAATCGAACCCAAGACGTATTTTCGAAATAATGAAAAAAAATATTTCGACGACATGTAAAGTCCGCCAGTCCGCAGTGGGGCCGCGTGGCCGACTATGCCCTAATGCCCTCTGTGCTGAGGAGGGCCTTTGCCCAGCAGAGGATAAATATAGGCCGTTACTTGACTGTACTGCAGTGAAAGGTATGCTTGGTCGCCTAGGCCTCCCGGACAGCATGCTACTGTGGCTTCTGCAGAAGCTTCGCGGCAGCCGGCCCCGGCTGCGAGTCTGCGTCAGACAGCACGCCTCTTCACAGTGTTCCGCCTTCTACATAACCGCCGACGATGACGTGTGAGTTACCTGCAGCGGCCAGCTATTGGACTAATTGGACGAACAGCCTTCGGGCTCAATAACGTTCTAATTTCGGAAAGTTCCACTGAATACATAATTATTACTCCGTTCACAACAGCTTGCTACAGACGGCGGAAGAAGTGCACCTGCCGAAGCTTCTCAAGCCGGAGTTCGGTGGTGGCTACAAAGAGTTCACCGTCAGAGATATGCACTGTTTCAAAAAGGTAACGCATAAATTACTAGCGATCCGCCCCGGGTTCGCACTGCTGGCGAAACTTTACATGTAAGTTTTATCTGCGTGGTTGTATTCTTCTCGAGATCTTCAACAATCGTCCTCATATCAGCCAATTCACATGATGAAAATGAATTAACTTAAACCTCTCTTATGAATCACTGCGTCTATGGTCAAAACTATATCAAAATCGGTTCAGTAATTTTTGAGTATGTATATCGCGTTCAGACAGATAGACAGACTTACCGAACAGTTAAAGTAGTATTTTTTTTAATTATAATTTTTTTTTATTTACTGAAATAAAACATACTTTAAATCTCACGGCCTTTTCTTTTTTCTAAGTTAACAACAATCGCTTAGAGAAATTGGTAAGTTTTTTCTTGTACACACCCCTTTTCTGAAATTTCTGAGGCGGTGTGCCTTTTGTCTTATTTAGTGATTTACTTGCTCTCCTCTCTTCGCGCCACTACACAAACAACTTAAGATTCGTCTGTTCACGGGTTTGTTTAAACATTATCCGAACTGTAGACTAAAATAGAACCGTTGGGTTAATGAAGTGTTATAATACGATAGTATATATGTTATAATACGGTGTAGTAGTATATAGTAGTCTATAGATAGTAGTCTACGGTGGTAGGGCCACGCAGCAGCCTCGGCTGTTGCACGAATGGGCAGACTCGTCCGGGTAAGTACCACGACCTCACAGAAGACCGGCGTAAAGTGGAAGTATAATACTTTCGCGTTTCGTCTGGTGAGTGAGGTAGCCGGAGCCCAATTTCCAAAAAGGTTGTCAAAGCATCTGCAAACCCTCGGGTGCAGCAGATGTCCATGGGCGGCGGTATTCACTTAACATCAGGTGAACCGTCTGCTCGTTTGGCAACTTTTCACATAAAGAAAAAATAAAAGTAAAATGAACAGGTAAATAACTACGGTCTTTACTTCATTACAAATATTTCTCAAATAATTTTGCACGCAACACGTAATAACAAAAATAAAAATCCTATTATTACGCGTCAGTAAGATTCTTATCGCTGCCCTGGAACGCGATTCGGCGTACCAGCCACGAAACAATTTTCGGTGATCCGCTTTGAAATCGCGGAAAATACGTTCTATAGGTACAAGAATACCAATGCCTATTTTACTTATTGCATTCACGCGAATATTACAATGTCACTACATAGTAAGTCTATCAACGTCTATAACATTTGAGGATTGCCCTCGATTTCTCTGGGATGCCATCATCAGATCGGTGTTTCCTTATCATGGTACCACCCTTGGAATATCTCCTTTCCAACAAAAAAGGAATCATCAAAATCGGTTGGTTCATAAATGACGAAGTTACCCTGAACACACATAAAAAAAATAAAAATATATACGGTCGAATTGAGAAACCTCCTCCTTTTTTGAAGTCGGTAAAAAATAAATTGTTTAAAATCTGACCAGGGCATTATTTTTTATTAGTAATGACATTTTAACACAAACAGATGTCTCAATCTATTCCTTCATAATGGATGGTAAATTTTGACGAAAAATAAAAAATCCGTATTAGCTAGTAGTTTTGTAAAATGCATCATTCTCATAGACTGTATATTAAAAAAATCGTAAAAGTAATTCCCATCACACTGAATAATTGTAGACGGACTGACAGACAAGCGGAGTCTTATTTAATAGGGTTCCGTTTTACCCTTTAGATACGGAACCGTAAAAATTTAAACCCTAGATTATTTTCAACTCACAGTTGCATACAACCTAAAAATTTGGTTTTTTTTTTTTCTCACGTATGACCAGTTTCGAATTTGTACCTGGCATGTAAACTGGGTTAAACGTAGTACTCATTAGCTATTACTGGCTTCCCCAGAAGATAAAGATATCTGTTGGATCTAGATCCATCTCCCTGATTATTCGAGACTGTCGAAGCGTTGACGTCATAACGCTTCCGCCTCGTTGTCAAACGACAAATGTACAAATTACTGTTCCGACATATCGTACTCTGCGATTAATATTTCACATCGATCTTTGGAAACGCTCGTGCAAGGACAGACAAACATCACGTCGGTTATGTGTGACAGAGATAACGCTCTACGAAACCGAAAGCAGGCGATTTTATCTCATTTTAAAAAAAGGGACATTGCCCTTACTTTAGGATAACATTATTCTGTGCTGTAAAGACCTTTTACAAATATAAATTTTATGCGGATAAACACCCAGATGCGAAACAACTATCCGTGGGACACACAAATAGTTGTTCCGTGTGGGAATCGAACCAACGACGCCGAAGCCAATACCTTGGCAACTGCGTCGTGGGTCATCAATCATTGGTTAGATGTCCAACACTTGGGCTAGCCGAAGTCACGACTCTCACCAACCTTAAATCGTTCCTCGATTGCCCTTTGATTTTCTACAGGGCACCACGGCATCCGAGCTGCTGAACTCGCAAGAGCGAGGCGCTTTGGTGAAACACGTGCTGGAGTCTGCCCGCGCCGAGCCTGGGGACGAGCACGCCCTGGAACCAGCGTTGACTCTAAGACCTGGACAGAGCATAGGTGAGTAGCACTTCCTACGAACCACTCGTGAAAGTGATTGAAACGCTAGATGACGCCAAACATTGCTTAAGGATATAATAATTTTATTCGTTATTTATATATATATGACCTTAAGGGACATACAAAAAAATTAATTAGCCGAAATGGTCATGGGTTATTGAGAAGAAAGAAGATGATGATGATGATAATTCGAGTCGATCGCTGTAAAGGACATAGCAATGAATGCGTTAAGCATTGCCTAAAATATAAGTAACAGCCTATATAAATGTCCCACTGCTTGGCAAATGGCCTTCTGTGTACAGAGGGTACTAAGACATAGTCAACCGCGCGACCCCACCACTACGGAATGGCGAACTTTACATAGTTATATTAATTTTTTTTTCGATATTATTTCGAAAATATGCATGTTTCTTCACAATATTTTGCTTCAACGTTGATCACGTGATGATTCAGCCGTGCCGACAGTAGAGCCCTGATACCTCAGTGTCCAGGCGAACTTTAATTATTAATTTCTTTTTATAAATCAAATTGTTAATTTTAACCCATGAACATACATAAACATAATTTTATTTTGTGTACAAATGCACATTGAAGATATTTAAACGCCCAAGACACTGGAAGAGTATTTTGTTCATTACAAAATATTTTTCCAGTAGTGAGAATCGAAACCACACCCTTCGAGCGCAAGGCGTAATTGTCAGTATCCACTACACCAAATGGTTTGAAAGTTTTATATTTGGTATATATTATAATCAAACACTTCGCCGTCACAAAGGCTTTTTACGAAATTGGACCGGGAGAATAGTAGCCGGAGAGAATCAGCCTGTATCAGGGGTTGTCAACCTTTATTTTAAATCCGTAAAATCTACTTTTCATTCCGACTTTTTTTTATGTAATTTTTGTTTCGCAGAAACGTAATAATAAGCGAAATAGGTTATTTTTTGTTTTCTATGTTTAATATGCTCGGTGAAATCTGACTGTGAAATCAGCTGGATGAGCGATGAGATAATGCTCGAACGTGGTATAAAGCATCAAAAGTTTTAGATTTTGTATCATATAGCGTAATCAGCTTGTAAGTATAGTTTCATCGAAAGCAATCGAGCAATCGGCTTGGCCAGTAGCTTGTTGACTACCCCTGCTTGACTCAAACCTTTGTTCCCGACATTGCTTTTATTACTCTCGGGAGGCAATGTCATTCCTTTGGGCTCACGTCTTTATACACACTTTCCTTATTTCTAAGCCTTGATCACTCCTCTTTGATTGTATTACTACTAATAAACTGAACTATATTAAATGAAACCTTTGTTCGTAAGAATTTAGTGTAAGATTGCGACAAATAAAGAAACACAAGTTTCCTAAATAACATCGACAATAAATCGAAATAGAATATTTTCGAAATGATTCGTAATGGGGTCGCGTGGTGCACTATGCTCTAATATCCTCTTTGCAGCAGTGCGACATTAGAATTAGACAAGTTAGTTTTATTTTACCTTTTTCCTATTTTTCCAACGGTGTTTGTGCTATTATCTGTTACCAAACCCCTCCTCCCCCCCTTTTTTTGGTGGATCTTTCACTCTTTGCCTTTAAGAGGCCCATCCACCTAGCTTCAACATCATTTGAGTGATTATTGTTTTTAAACTTTAGGCTCACATTATCCTGTGTGGTAAGGACTTTTTACAAACATAAATTACACGCGGGCAAACACCCATATGCGAAACAACTATCTGTGGGTCACACAAATAGTTGTCCCGTGTGGGAATCGAACCCACGAACCCCCCACGCCGAAGCCAATACTGCCAAACTGCGCCACGGAGTCATAAAATTTCTTATTATTATCCATCAGATTATTCCCCCTATAAATCATTCTTCTTCCGGTATACGTCCTTTTGTTCTATATCCATCTGTAAGACAGCAACGACTTGACATTTCCAGTGCCGGCTTGCGTTAGCAGGGGCGTAATAGCGAGCATGTTCCCGCTACACGACAGAGTGGCGCTCGAGGGCCTGCGACAGAAATGGGTTAAAAGTCTTTTCTCGCCGCAGCCTCTAGGTGAGCCATTGACACGGTTTGTTCGCATATGACGAATTTCTAAACGCGTGGCCCAGTTTTTTAACCGCGTTTCTATTAACATGCTCTTGTCTTTACAACTGTTAAACATCATGTAAAGTAAATTCCTTATGAGAAATTCCTAGAGAAATTAAAATTTTTGCAGAAAAGATAAAAGCTAGAGACGTTAAACTCACATGAGGAGACAATATAACCTCATTCTTTTTTACAACTGTTAGTTGCATTCCTTATTGCATAAAATTTTTATTCAAAGCTTAAGTCTTAAAAGTTTGTTATATTTTTATTACAAATACTCTCAATCCACTTAAACATACTTTGTTTTATACTATAATGTATTCGGCATAATTTATTCCATGATTAACTAATAAAAAAATAGTTGCACAAAACATAACAATGTAAATGAACCTTTATACAAAAATGTTTTTAGTCACTGCACAAAAGCTCATGTTTTTCACTGCACTTTAGCCCACATTATCCCATTTACTTGGGCTGGCTGTTAAACTAAATATATAATATAAAATAACTTCTCGGCTATAGTAACTTTGATAATAAAAATATCAAAGTCCACCTGTGCATGATGTTTTTAATGTTAACATTTGGTTTAATAGTTTACTTATATCATGTCTACTTACAGATGAAATAAGCGATTATTTCGGTGTGAAAATAGCTATGTATTTCGCATGGCTCGGCCACTACACGCAATCCCTAACGGTGCCAGCAGTAGTGGGATTCATATTCTGGGTGAATATATACTAGACGCTTTTGGTCCTTCGTGCCGGATATTTTCTTTTATCAAAATGTTCTTTCTTCTATTTCCCGCAGATTTGGCTGGGAACAGCGAACGACAGCTGGAAGGATATCGCTTACGTGCTGTTCTCCCTTTTCAATGTTTTGTGGGCGTGTGTCTATTTGGAAACGTGGAAAAGGTGTGTTGATTGTGACACATTTGCTACTCAAGGATTGTTTTGTTTTTGCGCTATTACCATCTGTAATATGTTATTAATTTCGATGAATCTAAATTTGACTTGAAATCTTTGACAATGAAGACTTCTTTGAGATTGCTAACATTGAAGTCCGCAAACGTATTTTTATCGTTTAAAGTTTCCAACATTGAGCGTTTAAATGTATTTAACGTGTCTTTTGCAGATATTCGAACGTTTTAGCGTATAGATGGGGTACGTTGGATCAGAGGGACGAGTTGTTGGCAGAACCGAGGCCGTTGTTTCAGGTATTTCTGCTCAATAACACGTTATAAGGTTTCTAACCTATTTAGAGACGAGTTGGTCATCATTGGCTGCCTACTCGATTTAACTTACCTGGTGGTTACGTAAACGCCATATAAAGGATATAAATGTGGGCTTACAGGGATTGACCTGTCTCAAAACTCGATGGCTAGTAGATGCTTCGATCACCTTTTATCGAAGCAAGTGAGCCCCGGGTGGGGTACCCCACTCACCCGACGAAATGCGAAAGTTTAATACTTCCACTTCTGTGAGACCGTGGTACTTGTGAGACGTGGACCGGACGCGCGTGTCCATTCGTGCAACGACGGAAGCTGTTGAAACATTTTGCCTTATTTCCGATTTTGAATTTGGAACGCTCGATTCCAGGGCGAGATGGGTATAAGTGCGGTGACGGGGCGGCCGGAGCCGCAGTACGCGGCGTGGCGCCGCCGCGTGTGGAGGCACTGCGTCTCGCTGCCGGTCATGCTGCTCTGCCTCAGCTTCGGCGCGGCGGCCACCTTCGCCTCGTTGCGTGCGCAGGTGCTAAATAACATGACGAATCTGAACGCCTAACGCATACGACAATGTACGTCATCATCATCCTTATCCCACCTAGGTGGGGTCAGCACAACATGTCATTAAAGTTTTTTACGACGCCTGCCTGACGTCAACCCTCATTGGGTAACTTACACCCAGATCCGAAGCAATTATCTGTGGGGCACCGAAATACTTGTCCCGTGTGAGATCGAACCCATGACTGGATAGCTTAGGAACTACTCCACTCCGTGTGTACGATAATGCGCATACTAAAAGTTAAGGGACATCTTATATATGTCCCACTGCTGGACAAAGCCCTCCACTATAAAGGGCATTTATGCATAGGCTTTATTGCTTTTACTAAAAACGTTGCTCAACCTACCATTGAACGTCTTAATAATTCAAACCACACCTGGACAAATACCTAGGATCCGGGAATATTTGTATTTTACATGTATTCGTTTCGGGGAGGCATTTACCCCATGGTGTCAAGGCCCTTATACCGAATGGCTGTTCCCTTGTCTACTAGCTTCGTCGTGGAGTCGTATTAGCTGAAGTAAATATATTATAAACGGTTGGGCGAGGTAGATTTAAATAGAGTTAGATTTAGGCGTTCGTGGATATTTAGCTGGAACACTTGCCAATGTATCGGGTTTTGTTAACTTATTGGAATGGGCAAAAAGGATCGAGGCGTATTTTTTTTTTATCTGAAAAGTTGCCAAGCGAGCAGGCGGCTATGTTAAGTGAATACCGCCGCCCATGGACATCTGCTACACCCGAGGGTACCATATGCGTTGAAAACCTTTTGAAAATTGGGCAATTGGAATATATTAATTAAATAAACAACCTAAAAGAAAACGAATACGACAAAGTTTCCAACTGTACATTATAATCTCTTACTAAATAGTAGTAGTAATTGAATAATTTACTAAATAGAAATGTATAATACATTGCTACAATGTACAAGCAATGTGTTATAAATAGATATGTGCAATACATGGCTTTTAAGTCTTTTAGAAAGTTTAAAATCTGGTAAAAGTAAATTTACCATTTTATTTCATGCGTTTCATTTAATTTTATGTCTAAACTTTGAATTTTATTTTATTTTTGTAAATTTACAACGACACTTGCAGGATTGGTGGGAGAAAACACTAGTCTACTTTAGCTGGATTCCGCGCGCATTATTAGCAATCATAATAGCAGTTGAAGAAGAGGTCTATGCTAGAATCGCAAGATGGTTGAACGATAAAGGTACTGTACTATCTATTATTACGTAGGGCAATTAAAACTTCGTATAAATACTCTGTTAGCCTTTATACTTCACTGTTTAGTTATAGCTTAGCTATTTTCAAAATTTTTATTAAAAGTATTAACATCTCAAGTTATATTTCTAAGTTTTTTTAGTCGATAATGCCTTAAACAAATTTATAAACTAAAACATAATTCACTTGAAATATTTTTTTTTAATTGTAGAGAAGGGATCATTATACTTTTTTTTAAAGAATTACTTGTTTTTGTCCTCATTTCCGTAACAATATTGAATGCATACATTTTTTATAGTAAAATTACCATAAAAACTTCTGTATAATTTTTTAAACAAGTTGAAGGGAATACAAAAATCTGGTAACTAATTTTTTCACAACGTATGAGCTTAATACAACATTATTACATTTTATTTTTTTCTCTGTATCGCTACAGTGTATTTAAGTTTTAGTACATTTTTAAAAGAAAACTAATAAATAAAACAACAAGGCAGCTTTTGTTATGCCTTGAAACCTATTAATTAAAAAAAAATTCTAACAGCAAAAAAAAAATAAGTTTAAAACTAGTTTTGTGTGATTATTAATATTGCTAGATTAATTTTCAACAGGTTTGCCGTATGCATTTTTAAATATGTTATATAGATAATAATTAATATATGAAATAATTTTCATGTACCATACATAATACACATGCCAATTGCACATACCAATGAAGTGTATAGATTCGCCACGTACTTTTCTCTTATATAGTCGACAGAACTAAGACAAAAGTTTCTAGAAGCCTCATTGCATGGTTTGATTCTTCCCCCGCTCCTACTCTATGAATAAAACTCTTTTTCTAGCTCATACAGCCCAGTTCCTAATCTCTAGCTATGACTAGATATAGCATTAGTAGACAACGAAACTAATTTTGTAGTGAACTGTACTATAGTCGCTATGTATTCTCTTTACTGCTTACCTTTTGGAAACGGACACAAAACACACTGCGTCGCAATTGAAAACGCAACATGATGGACATTGATTTTGCTATTTTAAACCGTTGGGTTCTACAGAGAACTATCGGCTCGAGACGAAGTATGAGAACCATCTGATTGTGAAAATCGCATTGGTTTGTATTTATACGCTGTAAAGAATTAACGTGGCATAGTGCATGGCTTTACATTGTTATTGATTAAAATAGAGAATATAACACTACATCATTAATTCCACCGCATTTCAAATTTTACACCTGCATGTGATTTGTATAACTTCATATTTAATACCATTATTATTTTTAATTGTTACAAGCTATTTGCCACTTTTTTCAAAGTTGTTTTAAAAATGTTTACCAGTTCATAATTGATGCGGATTGTTTACCAGTTTTTTTCATAGTTAATGCAAATGATTTACCAGTTTCGTTCACAGCAAAAGTGATCAATATTTCGTTCAAATCAATATTTTTGTACTCCATAGTTGGATACGGGATGTATAGCCAACTATTAAACCGCACAACCCTATTTTGACACTTAATATGCTGAGTTTAACAAGTACATTATCTAAACGATTGTAAACATTGGTACGCTAATTTAATCATGTGATGTTTATTTAGTCATTTATGTATTATTATTTTATAAAGCTAAAAACGCAAATGTTTTAAACGGTGTCGAGTACAGTCAAGTGCAACATTGCATATAAACTTTGAATAATAAATCACACATAAATCCCTTTATATACCTGAATTAATACTTTCAATACAAAATTACAATATATTATTAAATCTTGTATATAAAAGGACACTATTCAAAGTAGTTTCCAGAATTTTCAAAGTTTTTCATGAAAGTAGTCACACGATCATCGCCATGCCATAATCAAATCACACAAAAACTCAGACTGTTAACGATGTAGATGCTTTCGTTGTATTTTTTTTTTTTTTTCTTCCAGTGACCAAATGAATTTCTCTTCCAGTTTCAATTCGTGAACTCATTCATGAGTTTGTTCTACATTGCATTCTATCTTCAGGACATGGATAAGTTGAAAGAGGTAAGCGGGCAATGGAGTTATGTGTTTATTTTATATCATCATGGCTAAAGTAAATGTTTGACTGATAGTCGAGGAACAGTTAAAAGGCTTTGACTGCAGGTTAACTAATTTAAATATATTTGAGTGTGCATTAGTGCCTCTGATTTCAGTGTGTACTAAATTATTTATTTATTTTCTCTGAGGATGTCTGCCGTTTTTTATATTTCGTTTTTTATATTTCGATGTATAAATATATTATATTTTTGATCTTTATAATAACATAAGTAATCATTTAGGAATTTTCAGATCATTCCTTGCATTTTAAGGAATTTTATTGTGGCAAAGTGCGTTTTCTATACGGGGTAGAAATTAATGTACTCCATAAATTGTTGTCCCGAGTTAGAGTGTCGGTGACTTTTCGTGTTTTTAAAATGAAAATAGATATCACTTCACACAATACTAAGAGAAAATTTACCGACTAACTTCATGGTAACAATTCATCTTTCCATAACGTGCCAAAACAAGTATTACTTCAATTGAAACCTCGATGTTCTTTACAGCAATTAGCCGTTCTTCTCATAACGAGACAGATAATCGGAAACTTGAAGGAATCTGTTCTTCCGTATCTGATCGAAAATTTGAGACTGGCCAAGATTTGCGTGGACGTGTTCGGTGCGATAAGCCCCAGTAAAAGTAAGTTACCAAAACTGAATTAAAACTTGGAATTCGAACTCGAATCGGAGAGAGTTAACGGCACTCATGTACCCATGGACTTACTGAAACGTTCATACTCTTTTGTCGTCCTTAAACATAAATAAAGTAATCGTCAGTTTTAATATGTTAATAAATTTGGAAAAAATACCCCATATTTTCATATTCTTAAACAGAACAGCGCCAGTCTCTTTTTTAAATGTACATTAATTTCAGAATGTTTTTTTTTTCGTTAAGAAATGAGATTCTGATGTCTCCCTCGCTCTTTTTATTCTTCTGTTGTCAAAAACTGTCATCAGAATTTACCTGTACACTTGTGAAAAATAATGACTATAATATGAAAAAGAACTTGATTTCACTTCGCTTGAAATTCCATACAAAGTCTAAAATTATATGTGTAGACTGACGAAAGCAAAACATGAAAGTCCAATTAGATTTTTAAAAAGGAACCGATTAACCGCATCCTCAGTTCCGACGTCTACGCAAATAACGGAAATGTTCGAGAAGCGAACCTGCTCCAGCGGGGATCCCCCCGAGGCGATGGTCAACGGCGCTGCTGAGAAGGAGAGGAGGGACTCTGAACCGGTCGTCGGTCAAAAAGTCATTCACCAGGCAGAGCTGGAATCGCAGCTGTTCAAGGTCAGACCTTGTACCCTTGTTTTCGAATTATTCTACTGTGCAAGGCAACACAACAGCTTATGTTTCACGAATGGGCAGGCGCGTCCGGGGAAGAACAACGCCCTCACATCGGACCAGTGTGAAGTGGAAGTGTTAAACTTTCACGCTTCGTCTGCTGAGAAAGGTAACCGGGGCTCCCTTTTTCAAGTATCTGCAAGTCATCGGATGTTATAGATGTCCATGGGCGGTCCATGTTTAATACATGACTTAACATCAGGTGAACCGGTCGCTCGCTTGACTATTTTAACATAAAGTAAAGGTTTCTACAGATGCCTGTACTTGGAAGTACCACGGCCTCATAGGAGACGTGTTATACGTTGCGTTTCTTCCAGCGAAAGCATCAAACGTCTGATAGAAAACCGTGAGTTGAAAAAAAATATTTATGGGTGTCGTTTGATGAATGAGTTAGCCCTTTTGAAATGTGATAATTGGGACCTCCGGTTGCCTCCTAATAGGAAGACACTATACAATATTTATGACTTATACTTCACGCCGCTAATTATTTAGGTTTATTACTGGTTTTACTCCCGACGTAGAAAGGGAGGGAGGGTGTGGCATCATGATTAATGTTCTATCCATTATTTGGGGTGGCAGTCGTCTGTAGCTCGGGGCTTTGCTAGATGTCTCACTTGTCCTGCCACCACGTTGCATAATGTCATTTAACACCATTAACAAAGTACCGCTTTTGTTCAATGTTGTTTTAAATCACGCACCGTCGGCAGTACGAGGGCACGTTCTTCGAGTACCTGGAGATGCTCACCCAGCTCGGGCACGTGGTGCTGTTCTCGGCCTAATACAATTATTTACCACATTTATTCTCAACTGTTACAAGTTTTACCGCTTTTGTTCAAAGTTGTTTTAAACGAGGCACCGTCGGCAGTACGAGGGCACGTTCGCCGAGTACCTGGAGATGCTCACCCAGCTCGGGCACGTGGTGCTGTTCTCGGCCTAATACAATTATTTACCACATTTATTCTCAACTGTTATAAGTTTTACCGCTTTGTTCAAAGTTGTTTTAAACGATGCACCATCGGCAGTACGAGGGCACGTTCGCCGAGTACCTGGAGATGCTCACCCAGCTCGGGCACGTGGTGCTGTTCTCGGCCTACTACAATTATTTACCACATTTATTCTCAACTGTTACAAGTTTTACCGCTTTGTTCAAAGTTGTTTTAACCGTTCCACCGTCGGCAGTACGAGGGCACGTTCGCCGAGTACCTGGAGATGCTCACCCAGCTCGGGCACGTGGTGCTGTTCTCGGCCTAATACAATTATTTACCACATTTATTCTCAACTGTTACAAGTTTTACCGCTTTGTTCAAAGTTGTTTTAAACGATGCACCGTCGGCAGTACGAGGGCACGTTCGCCGAGTACCTGGAGATGCTCACCCAGCTCGGGCACGTGGTGCTGTTCTCGGCCTAATACAATTATTTACCACATTTATTCTCAACTGTTACAAGTCTTACCACTTTTGTTCAAAGTTGTTTTAACCGTTCCACCGTCGGCAGTACGAGGGCACGTTCGCCGAGTACCTGGAGATGCTCACCCAGCTCGGGCACGTGGTGCTGTTCTCCGCCGCGTTTCCGCTGGCGGCGCTGTGCTCGCTGCTGAATAACGCCGCGGAGGTGCGCGCGGACGCGTTCAAGCTGTGCCACGTGGCGCAGCGGCCGTTCGGCGAGCGCGTCAGCAGCGTGGGCAGCTGGCAGGTGGTGCCACGCGTGCCACGCGGTTCTGTAGCAGCGCCGCGCGGCGTTCTATGCTGTTGCACGAATGGAGGGTCCGTCCTAGGGATGTCGAAATGATATCGATATATCGATATTTTCAGCCGATATATTAGGATCCGATATATCGATACAAAACATTCAGTAACGAAAATCGTATCAAAAACCATATTTTTTCAAATTCGAATCCGAAGGTGTCAAATATTTAATGTTTGACATACCTTTTTGGACAAGGGGCTTTCTAGGACCTACATCCGATAGATATATCGATATTTTCTCTTCAATATATTTTTATAAATAAATTTCTTCACTTTCGGCATCCTTACGGAGAAGCACCGAGGCCTCGCAGAGTATCGGCGTGAAGGGGAAGTGTTATACTTTCGCGTTTCGTCTGATGACTTAGATAACTGGGGGCCACTTTATTGAAAGGTAACATAGGTTGGCAACGCATCTGCAGGTGTTGTAGATGTTCGTGGGTGGCGGCAGTCATTTAATATGGGGCCATGTTAAATGGAAGGATGAAAAATAAGGTTTTGTGGTATCCGTGCCGTTCTTACTGGGACCACGTTCACCTGCTTAATTGGCAGCAGGGGGTCCTAGGTGTTTGTTCCCAAGGATGGTTGAAGTCAAGCAGAGACAAAAGCACTTATAACATGATTCCCCAGTGTTGACTTCACAAAGGATAAGAGCAGGACGATGATGATGATGTTTTATCCTTCAGCATGCAATGGAAGCCATGGTGGCGGTCGCCGTACTTGTGAATTGTGCCCTCATCGGCCTTTCTGGTCCCGTGCACAGACTTCTACCAGACGCCACGCCGGCTCAGACGATATTAGTCATAGTCGCATTGGAGGTAAGGTCCATTTTTAAAAAGCATTACACTCCTGCAGTCGGATAATACCAAAATCTTTTCAAAGTCTTACATAGAAGTTACTTATTCGCAACATCTTAAGCAAGCAGACAATATGTTTTGTGTAATTTTATAGATTATTGAAATCATAACTCTCGATCTACATTATCGATAACTATACATTGTGATAACTACAATATACATATATACGAACATAACAGTAGTTTCACCTTTTATCCGGGTTGAAGGACCATAAACGTAATTTTTTTTTAATTTTAAAAACACTGCCCTTTGTTTTAGGATACTTTTATCTTGTGTTGTAAGGACGTTTTACAAACATAAATTTCACGTGGACAAACACCCAGATGCGAAACAACTATCTGTGGGTCACACAAATAGTTGTCCCGTGTGGGGATCGAATCCACGACCCCCGACACCGAAGCCAATACCTTGGCAACTGCGCCACACTACTTAATATGCCGCATGTCTATTATGGTTACTACATAGGTGCTGTATTTCATTTTCTTAGCGGTTCCATTACCGCTATTCACAATAAGAGCGCATAACTCTCGAAGCCTTCGCTCTTATAAAAGTTTTGAACTACCCTTAATGTAACTCTGTATACTATTTATTTATTAATGGCGGGCAGGCTAGGCCGGTGAATTGCCACGGTCTCACAGAAATCACGTAAAGTGTAGGAATTTTCGCTTTTCTTCCAGTAAGTGTGGAAACAGGAGACCACATTTAACACTAGGAGAACCGCTTGCTCGCTTGCCAGCATTTCAGATAATTTTTTAACTGTGGTAGGGCCACGCAACAGTCTTCGCTGTTGCACGATTGGACAGGTCCGTTTGAGATTGTACCACGACCTCATAGAAGGCCGGGGTGAGGTGGAAGTGTTATACTACTGCTCGTCTGGTGAGTGAGGCAACCCATTTTTATAAAGGTGGCAACGCATCTGAAACTCTAACGGTGTTGCAAATGTCCATGCTCAGTGATCATCACATAACCGTGATACCTTCTCACACTAGTAACTAACAGAGCTCGGCTGGGTGCGTTATGTTATACGGCCTCTTGTCTCCAGCACGTCGTGCTGGTGATTGTGTTCGCGCTTCGGATCGCCATACCGGAGATCCCGGGATGGCTGGCAACCGAGATGGCCAAGGTCGAGTTCCAGAGGAGGGAGGCCATCAAGAACGCACACGCGCCCCTTCTGGTGAGAACTGCCTGTGGCGACTTGATTAGCTTCCGTCCTCGACTTTATCCGTATGATTATTTTTAAGGTAAATAATCGGTATATGTTTCATTATGTGTGATGACGCCTCGCCTTTGCAATTTTCGTTAAGATACTACGGGAAATGTTGTTGTTCCACTAACTGGTGATTTTTCCGATTCAATGTTAATGAACACAAAAATATTTGGTGGTGGGGAGACGATATTTGGGGAGGTTTAAGAAGTAATAGCCTTTGGGTGGACTGTTTTTTCTGCGTGAATTTCAGTCGCAGTGCAACAGTCAGAAGATGCTCAATAAAACAAAAGAATTTCGACTTTAACTCTAGTGATATCTATCGATCTTCAGTCGGAAGAGCCTCATCTGAACATAACAATTTCGACCTTATGTCTTAGCGAACACGGTCGATTTTCAGTCGGAAGAGCCACATCTGAACATAACAATATTACCTTAAGTCCAAGCGAACACGGTCGATTTTCAGTCGGAAGAGCCTCATCTGAACATAACAATCTTGACTTTAAATCCGAGCGAACACGGTCGATTTTCAGCCGGAAGCCCCTCATCTGAACATAACAATTTCGACCTTAAGCCCAAGCGAACACGGTCGATTTTCAGCCGGAAGCGCCTCATCTGAACATAACAATCTCGACCTTAAGGCCAAGATTAAATCTATCTAAAATTACATATTATCTAATAAACCTAATCCACGCGGCATGGTGCCAAGAACGCTAGCTGCATTTCCTCGCTGAATAGTTATGCTCAACCTTTGCGCGAGAAAAGAACCAGCTCTCTTGTCAGCCGCGGCGTTAAGCCTAGGACATAAACTTTTAAAAAAATTTGATGTGCGGGGACCCCACGGACCTAATGTTTCAACAGCAAATGGCACAAATACATAATCTGAACATAAAGACTCATATTTGCGCCATTTACTTACTTCAGCTGCCTCCGATGCCGCCCCCGGCCCTGACCGAAGTACCTCCTTAGATGAGAGGCAGCCAAAGTGTCTACACAAGTGGCGTCCCAAACAAGGGCTTTGCCTCTCTCCCAAGGGATCAATGTTAAACCGTCGGGTCTCTTACCATCGTCGCGTAAAATGCCACAGGGCTCTAAAATAAATTGAATATTGATGGAAACAAGAGCCCTACGGATGATGTTCAGGGGCCAGCACTTTTTTGACAAGAAACCACGTGGAGACCAAATTTGTCTACACTGACACCACAAGGACATTGGTGTGGTTGACAAATCGGTGCCCCCAGACGGATTCCTACAGCAATGCGTAAGCTTTCATCGTCAAGTAATGTGCCCAAGTTACTTGATGGTAAAGCGTGAATCCAATAACTCGATTCTTTAGATGAGACTCCTAGGAAACGGGCACGCTCTAAATTACTTTCTAAAGATTGAAACGTATCTATCTGTACTCTCCGCACCAAGGGAACATCCCACTGTTTTTGTAGGTTTACTTCCAGTGGGATATTTTCGTTGGGACAGACAGACAGCCAAGACATCCTTGCCTCCTCTGCATAGGACAGTTCTGAATCGTGATTAAGGATGTTATTACATAAATTATTTACGCTATGCACGGAAGCACGGAAGGCAGGTAGAGCGACACTAGAAATTTTCCTTACACCGATACCACCAAAACAAATTGGCAGCGTAGCTTGAGTCCAGCTTAATTCATTAAGAGATAAATTTAGAATTTTTTCTAGGGCTGATTTAAGATGGAAATCAATTTCGTTCAAAAAGTCACCGCATTTCCAAACTGGACTCGAGCTAAGGAGGTACGTAAATTTAGGTACAAGAATACAATGTCGCAAAATAGTAAGCGCAATATGCGAATTTAGTAAAAACAATTTATTGACATGATCTAAAAATTGACTTAACTTTAGTTTTAAATGAGATTCCAAACTTGGTATCAACAAAGGAGCACCTAAGAGGTAAAGTGAATCTGAACGGACTACGTTAATTCCCGGTATGATAGAGCTAAAATTTTGGGTCAAAATGATTTTGTCGGAAAAAGAAATCTTTTCGGAAAAGAAAAGTTCGCATTTGGAATTATTTAAATCGAGACCGATATTTTTAAATTGTCTAATAATTTCAATAAGATCACTTTGTACATCGTCAACTTTACCTCCCAGCGTACCATCGTCTAGGTACCAGACATTAAGTTTAGATTTCAATTTTGAAATAATTGGATTAATTCCCAAACTAAATAATGCTGGTCCTAGCGGATCTCCCTGCTGAACGCCGACAGCAGAATCAATAATATGGTTTTCATAAAATAAATTGCTCTTTTCACTGTAACATTGCCAAACATAGTGATATATTTCTGGTGTATGGTTAGCCACTTCGTTCAGCAGAGTCGTTCTATCAATGGAGTTAAAAGCATTCCTTAGGTCAACCTTCAGAAGTACATCCAAATCACTAGTATTTAAAGAAGTTTGAACGGAATGTACAGCCGCTTCACAGCCGCCTTTGCTTCCAAAGCCTAGTTGAATAGGCTGGAATTTTCTTTTAAGGCCGGAGATTATGTACCTACATGCTAATTTTGAAGTTAAGCGTCGAAAGGTAGAACCAATAGCAATAGGACGGATACCATTATCTTTTTTTTTAAAGGCACATAATCTTGCCCCGTATAAGAAAGGAACAAATTTAGGCCAAGTAATTACGGTCGATTTTCAGTCGGAAGCGTCTCATCCGAACAAAACAATTTCGACCTTAAGTCCAAGCGAACACGGTCGATTTTCAAGCGGAAGAGCCTCATCTGAACATGACAATCTCGACCTTAAGGCCAAGTAATTACGGTCGATTTTCAGTCGGAGTGCGTCAGCCAGGAGGACGTGCGCGCGTCGTCCCGCAGCAGCCCGCGCGTCATCACGCCAACGACGCCGAAGCAGGCGGACAAGCCGAAGAGGGTCTTCATCGGGAAGATACCGGAGATACCGCCCTTCAGGTGAGTTTCGACCTTATAATATATACATAAGGTCCAATCTGTTTGTCACTTTCGAAACGCATACGGTTTTTGATTAGTAATTTTTCGTTGTTCTTTATTATATACTAGCTGATCTGGCAAACGTTGTTTTGTGAAATTTCGTAAAATTTGCGAAAGGAATATTCCTACCAAATTTCAAGTCTTTCCGCCTTATGGTTCCAGAGATATTGTGATGAGTCAATTATCGGTGGCAATCTCTTATATTCTTTATTCTATATTTGACGCGAAGGAGCCCACTAAGCGACACTATATTAAAAAGGATTTTTTTTAATTATTTCAACGTAGTAACATATTAAAGACGTTACATTAGAGTGTGAAAAAATTTCGAAGCTAATTTTATGTGTAATAAAATTTTATTTTACGTAAGTACCTATTTTGACATGACTGTACGACGAGATAGGTAGCTACATAAAATAAAATTTTATTACGGTAAATTAAAGATTACACTTACGTATGTGGTCTTAATAATTTTTGTGTTTATATCAATCAATTTATTAATGGAATGTCGACATGCTTTTCTTTTTTATTAATTTTAGTTTTACAGGTTTTTTTTATTATCTTGTCAAAATATCGCCAATATATTATAGGTCTCCAAAAACTTGTTATTTACTTTAAGAAACAAGGCATTGTACAAACTCAATTTCTATCACTTGGTAAAAGTAGCAGACATAAAGTATCATAACTATCAAAAAGCATGTCAAAACTTGGTGTTTAAGAAAAAAAAATGTAATTAATTATTAATAATATAATCTATTATATTTATAATTATATCATATACAAAACTTTGTGTGATTGGCATTTAGCGTTGATGTGGTATTATTATGCTTACATGCACGTTGTAATCAACGCAATTGCTTACGTAAACGAGTGCGTTTGTCCCACACATGCATTCATGTGCATGTTACGTGTTAGAGTTGTGTACAAATCACTATTTGGTGATCACTTTTGTACTCATATACCGAATAGTGTGAACTACGTCGCCATTTTGAATAATCGAGTTTAAATTCTTTTTTTGTTTTCAGTTAATTTGACACAAGTTAAATATGCCTGGATGGGTGTGTAGTTGCGAAGTATATATTTGATACAGATTCCATTATGTCAGTATTATCCATAGCGTTGACATTACATACTCTAAGCTTGTTTAAATACACCTTTTTTTCTTATTCCATTTGTATTGTTAATAAATATTTGTCAGTTATATGTAGATGTTTTGTCTGTCAATGTTTAAGATAAACATGCATTTAATAAAATGTTAATGTAACTTTAACCCTGCTTATTGTCTATGTATTGAAATTTTCTAACTTATTTTGAATAAATGATAACAATAATTACTTAGTCTTTCAAAGACTCCCCGTCATTTTGTTTCCAAACTAGAATTATATTCAATGAGAAAATGTGAAAAGAAAAATGTTAAGGTAATATTCATACATTTTTTTTCCTTTGTTCTAATATAGTCAGGTTTCACACGTTCATAGAAATTGGCGAGAAATTAAAACTAAAGTAAGACAAAATCTCATAATGTTTTCGCTTGCATTAACCGAAAACTTTCAATTTATTAAAAAGTTTCTAAATTATTTAAAACTACTAACATAAAATACCGTGAAACCTTTCTAATATATTTTTTTTTATTTAGCGTTATACAATCTATGTATTCTCTCTTCTCATCACCTCATCCACATTACTTATTTACTCTATGGATGTTCCATCACTGTGCACATGTATAAAGACAAACTACCGCTTTTGGCTATCGGCTTTGTGTGTGGATTTATGATGATATCACAGATTAGAAAACACTTAAATTCCTTACATCAGGGGTGGCGAACTTTTATTGAAAATTCAGAAATATCTGAAAATTCAGAAATATCTGAATTTTATAATATAAAAATATTTAATTATAGAATAGAATAAAAGAACGTAGACTGTACGTTGTGATTAATGGTGAACGAGATAAAAATTTAATATAACTTTAAACAGCTATATTGTTGAATAATTAAAAAATAAAACTTTTTACCACCCACCGTTTTCGTTTCACGTTTCCAAGTTAATATATGCCAATAATTTAATAATATACACAAACATTTAACAATAGTGAAAGAAATGTAAAGTTAATACAGGTTTAAACATATATAGTAACGAGAAATTCACAAAAATTCGTGCCGCAATCCCAATTGCTTTCTGTCTTGATTTCACCACATGTTGTATAGATGCGAACATCGTTGTTAAAGTCGCAGATTTCTTCAGTAAGAAACTTAACTCGAGAATGTATCGAATGGCTAGTATTTGAAAAATCAATCGTCACAATCAATTAGTGTGCCATTGGTTCACCACCTCTGCCTTAGTCTTGTCATTGTGACATTTCAGTTTTGCAACGGTAAAACTTGGGTAAGAAACCTCACTCGGATATTTTTCGAACGACCCGTATTTGAATAAAACAATTCTCAAAATTATTCCGTAGCGCGCCATCGGTTCACCACCTCTGCGTTAGACTTGTCATTGTGACATTTCAGCTTTGCACTAGTCTGTGGTATTACAGTAAACCGTGTGTCGCGCCTCTCCCTCTTCCAATATATGATATTCAATCTGCATTCTGAACGGGTGGAGGGAACATTTTCAGACCGAAAGCCGCGTCCATAACAGAGCCCGCAGTAACGACCGGCTCACTGCAATTGCTGCAAGACGTCAGCCCAACGAAACCGGTCAGACGTAAGGTACGATCGTATATTTTTCAACTTAATCTGAGGGACTTTTGAACAATGATTTCTTGTTTTTTTAGTGATTGCTAGTTCTAGCTTTGCATTCAGATGGCAATTGAATTGTAGCATTGGCGAAAAAATTTTCGACACTACCTAAAAATTTTTAAGTGTCACCAATAGTTTTTCCTGATCTGGGCGTTTGTGTTCTTTCAATTTTCATTTGTAAAATGGCCTCAACATTTTTATTTTTAAATGTAAAAACCAATATCACACACACGAACATAAACTCCACTTAATTGACTTACGACGCCTCATCTAGACCGTTAATCAAATTAATTTAACAACAGGAAGGTGCTGCGGGGGCGCCACTGTCGTTTTTAGGGGTCCGTGGATTAAGGGACGAGCCGTTACATCGTTCGGCGCACTGCATACCTCACCCAACGCAGCACAGACCTCTTGTCAATCCAACATTACAGGTGTTTAAAACATATTGGTATTTTATTTTGGTTAGTTACAAACTAGTACGTATATAACACATACTTTGAAGTTACTGCTCATTAACTAGAAGACCAAAATGCCTCAAATACTGGCCGACACAATAATAAAAACATATTGAATCCATATGGATGATGGTATCATGGTAAAATTTTGCAGATTTTTCCTAGTCCTCAAGCGTGCCTCAAGGCACGTGCCTAAGTCCTATAGTTTTCCCTAATATTATACTAATCTAAGTTTACATATACCGTAGGAATTGTCGGGTAGCGTCAGCGCCGGTGGCTCCGAGCCGGATTTGAACGCAGTGCCCTCCGCCGCGCCCTCTATCGATGCGAGCGCAACCTCAAGCGAGGACGACAAGCCCAAAGATAAAAGCAGTAAGTAACTTATTCATAAGGATAACCGTTGGGGAAGAAAGGTTATCGCAGCGTAGGAGTCCCCACTAGATGGAGTGATGACCTGAGATAATGTGTGGGAAGTCGATGGATGCAGGTGGCTCAGGATTGTACTTCGTGGCGGTCTGTGGAGGAGGACTATGTTGGGCTTTGGATCTTAACAGACTGAAATTATTATGAAAATGAACATATTCACACACTCCTTTATTATACAAGTGCAAGCTCCCTCGCCTTTGACTCTAACTGATATTCGGTCCTAAAGTTAGGGTCAAAACTGTCGCTCACCAATACGTGCCTGAAGTTCATCTTAGTTATTACGCAGTTCTCTTTTTTGTTTTATTATTATTATTTTTATTTTAGCCGTGAGCTCAGTGTCCGGGCGCTCGCCTTTATTTCAATATACTCGAGCAACCTGAGTTCGATCCCCGGTGCCGGCACCAATGAAGTTTTTAACTTTAAGTGCTGACTTATCACGTGCTCCGCGGTGAAGGAAAATATCGTGAGGAAACCTGCATATTTTCGAAATAATAACAAAAAAAAATATTTTTCGAAGATATGTGAAGTCCGCCAATCCGCAGCGGGGCCGCGTGGTGGACTATGCCCTGACACTCTCTGCATAGAGGAGGCCTTTGCCCAGCATTGGGACATGTATAGGCTGTTACTTTACTTTACTTTTACTTTATTTTTATTTTAAATGGCTCTCCGTAGGATAACATAATCTTGTGGTTTAATGACGTTATACATACATAAATTTCACGAAGACGAAAATCCTGATCTGAAACACCAATAGTTGTTCCGTGCGGGAATCGAACCCACGATACATAATACATCATCCATCATTTACATTCTTATGTTATATAACGATTTTATTAACTCTCATAACAAAAGAAATATTGTTAAACTCAAAAAAGCAATTTACCGATAGGGATATAGGAATAAAAACGGATTGACACTGCTAGTCTAGTTACGTGACGTGCCAATATAATCACTACTTGCGAACGTATCCTAACTCGTCGGATAGCCCACAACTTGTGTAAGTATCCACGCAAAGAGTCACCGACGCGTGTCCGTCGCAGGCCGTTCGCGCGCCAAAGCGGCGCTGGTGAAGCGCGTGCGCTCCGTGGCGGTGTTCTCGCTGGGGCTGCGCAGGGCGCGCGAGGCGGCCGCCGCCGGCGAGAAGGCCCACTCGCCGCACTCGCCGGTAGCCCCTACCACTCACAATCAGCACACACTACTCGAATAAAAAAACAGTCCTACTCGCACTGCGCACCACCACGCCAATGCATGTCGCCCACACTCCACACATACTACTCGCACAAACAAAACTGTCCCACTCGACAATGTCACCTATCTGTCTAACTCGATATTATCCCCTACTAGCTGCCCGTCCCGCATATATGGGGTATATTAAATTTTACTACTCTCCTTACCCGTGGAGTTAATTTTACTTTAACTCCACGGGTGATTTTTTTTTGTGAAAAGTTGCCAAGCGAACACTCGGTTCACCTCATGTTAAATGACTACCACCACTTATCGACATCTGCTCCACCCGAGGATTCCAGATGCGTTGACAACCTCTTGAAAATTGGGCTCCGGTTACCTGACTCACCTGACGAAACGCGAAAGTATTATACTTCCACTTCACGATGGTCTTCTGTGAGGTCAGCATAAAGCTACGTTTAAGGTAGCGCTGATTTTCAGCTGACACCTACGAATGTGAGTCACGGACAATCTGGATGCGCAGTGGAAATTAAATGTATATATATTTCACTAGTGTTGTACAAGGACTATTTAATTAATTTAATTATCTCCTAACCGATTCATCTATACTATATCTATCTCCAGGGTCCACCGGCGCCGATGCATGGTGGAGAACTCTCCTTAATACCGATAGAGCAGCTGATACAAGTAGATGACGTCAAACCGCGCCCCGTCACGTAAATCTATAGAACCCTAAAGTCGGTTATATAATACAAATATAATAACAATATTTCAGCTATTAGTATAAACGGAACGACAGTAATTAAATGTAACCATATTTATGTGTAGGAGTAAAAGGTCTGTACGAAGACTATTGACGGTTGTTGGTTTTGTGGTGGGCTGATATGTTATCCACAGATGTTCTTCAGTGATTACTCCGCAGGAATAAAAAAACCTGAGTACATTTAGCTTTAAATAATAAATAGACACTTTTCTATTCAAGGGAATCCATATAAAATATTTGATTTTATGTTATGTTATGATATTCATAACAGAGGAGAATGAAATATACTATCAATATCTATCTATATCTATGAAGTCTAGCTTACTTTTTTTATCTGATAGACTATACACAACCTAATCGATAGATAGGTATATAGAATATCAGAGAAAAATAAATATAGATAGATTTCTTGATACGGTCCATTGAAAGGGGAATGCCAAAATTCTACCATTTTGGTACAGTCGTTTTATATGGTACCGTTACGATCGTATTCTACCGTTTGTATTCATAGCTGAATAAACTAGAATCGCAATTTGTATATGATTATTCATTAATGTTATTAACACTTGTTTAATCATGTCACTTTTTTATATAACGTCTGCGTTATTTATTCAGTAGTTCATTGATTGTATAAAATACTGAATTTTTTGAATTCATTTGCTTTACATTTTATTATTTAAAACTTGCCGCGTGTATGTCAGAAATCTCAAATGGAATTCTATTCTATCCCGATTCTTATAATTTATTTATATTAAATTTAAAAAAAAAACTAGATTTTCTTGTGCTGGCAACACCATCTAAAACTCGCAAATGACCCGGTTAGCGCGTCCTTAAGTTTGCAATTACACACAACGTGAAAGATACCAGCCTCTGTTTTGATGACAGTTTGCACTCAAATAGACTGAAATTAAAAAAACAACTCCAATATAAATGTTTTTGCGTGTCTATCACTGTCTAAACTTTAGTCAGATGACTAGTATATCTTCACGTTTCCTTATAGTTCTTTATGGTCGATATCGAATGACATTAAACATTCGTCAGTGTTCAATAGAAATAAGACCATAAGTTAAGTACTCCCCCCCCCCCCCCCCCTCCCCTGTTGCGCCCCTGTCAAAAAAGTCAGTACAAACAAAGGAATTTCATACGAAGCAATCCAAACTAATCCTCTTTAAAGCCATAGTTGATATACAGCGTATCTTTACAATCACGACAATAAATGAACACAAATAAAGGGGAACCTTTTAAACTTGTATTAAACATCAATATTTACAGAGTTATTAAATTTTCCAAAACAAACAATTTTAGAACAGCCTTACGTATAAAAATCAGTGTAAAGGTCACAAAGCATATAAATGGGTTGAATGAATTTAAATGAGACAAAACATACTGTTAGAAGGAGAGGCTTGTAATGCGACGCTGTGGCGCGAGTTGTATAGGATGTTACAAATTTTGTTTCTTTTTTACTTAATTAGTTTGTTTGAAAAATATGTTATTTTTATTATGGATTTTGTTTAACGTTAATATTTTTTATGATTATTGGCAAGTAGCGTTAGACGTGTGTTCATTTATTGTCGCGATAGTAACGACACGCTGTATATTTCATTAACATTTCGTGCTTCTTTACTTGGCATGCTAATTCACGCTCATGCTACATATTGTATCTGTATTTTATACAATTAGTGAGTACATAGTTATTAATATACGAGAGTACAACGTGTTACGACTAGTGAAACTCGACACAATAGTTTTAAATTAGACCACAGTGGAAACTAGATGTAAATTTGTTGTGTACGTACGTATAATTTAATCGAAGTACATTCGTTTTTAGGTTGTTTGAAAGTCTAAATCGATGAGCGTACGACAAATAATGTTGCACAATGATAGCGAAAATAGTATCGATTAGCCAAAATAAGCGTGACGTCGAAGAGTTCAAAAGTGAAATTTTAAAAAGATCGAGCAATACTCATAGTATGAGTCTAACTCGCAAGTGACTCGAAAATAATTTTTACAGATTTGAATGGAAATTAAAATAAGTATCCTTTGCATTGTTTGAAGTGTTGCAATAATATCAATTTATTTATAATATATAGCGTGGGCACAGACATCGCTTTACATAATTAGTTATTACATTATAGTTTATATCTATATTAATATTAGAGACGTCTAGTCTCCTTTGCATATTAAAGGAAACAAATCCATTGTATAAAATATCATATTAAACGAAGCAAAGTCAAAATTATCCAATGCATTAGCAAATAGGTTCATAATAAAGACATTTTTAACAAGAACAAGAACAAGAAATGCGCTCGCGCCATTTTAATACATCACAGTTTTCAAATAAAACCAGGTAGGTAGGGTGAGCAAAACAGATATTATTCAAATAATATTTATTTATAAATAAATTTTAAAACTGAAACTCGTTCCGCTTACCTGGGGCCAAAACCATGATTCAACACAATTTTCAATATCTATCAAACTAAAGACAGTCGTGTCATTCTCCATACTAAAGTTAAAAACAAGATATCTACTTACCCAAATTAAGTGCATATTTCACACTTTCTAACATTATCTTCCTTTTTTTAAATACAGGTTGAATACCTAAGACAGTATGAGAAAATAATAAACTACTCATCGTTTATATGTTTTGCTTCTTTCGATATTTTTGTGATGGTAACAAAATCGAAAATGTCATGGATGGTTGTCCTTTTATTTTTCTTTAATTTACAAAAAAAATATAATGACGAATTCACTGCCACACCAAAATCCATCTGGTTCTAAAATTTTTCAGTTAAATAAACCCATAAGTTTTATCAATTAATGATCATTAATTTAATGAATTCTTGAATGACCTGGTCAATTATTAATAATTATTTTTAATCTTTCTTCTAGGTAATACGAAGAGTATTATCTCAATGTATAGAAAGTTACCGTATAATGAAGTACATAATAAGATTGCGTTCTTGAACCTGAAGTTATTAAAAACGTTGCTTTATACTTTTACGAAATTAAGCAGCAGTTTATAGACCTTTGCTTCCTTCTCTTCCGCCTACCTTCAGCTGCCAAATTCACTAAAGCCCCTCATAAATGCGAATCATTCCTACCTATTTTGGAAACATGCGCAGGGAACTTTCAGCTATTGTAAAATAACCAAGATTTGGCCGTTGTGTTCCTCCAAAACTACCCAATCTTGCGATGTATGTGCCCATGTTGTAATAAATAGTATTCAATTGTGTGTCAAAATTGTGTCATTGCGACATCTATTTGAAATGAGAGGCGTTTTTTTGTACGTGTGAAGTGTCGGAGCTTTTAGACTATTTTTTAAAACATTTTGATGAAATTTTTGAAGTTATTGTTGTCGTCGTTTGTCTGTAGAAGCTGTTGTTGGTGGCCGCCATTTTGTTGTGTGAAAAGCAATCGTGTGACAATAATTTGATATTGCTTCTTTTGTCTATTTATCGGTTTGCGCTTATTTCTTCTTTCGCTAAACTCGACCAGGAACACAAATATCTTCAAAGAATTTAATTTTCAAATCATGATCAACTGTAGTCGTCATAGTGATCTGTTTTTTTTTTACATTATTTAAATAATGTAATAGACTAACGGTTTGTTGAATTTTTTTTTTCATTAAACGATGTGTTGCCAATCGTGTAAAATAAAATACCTTACTTTGAAAGTAGTGGTACACGAGTGTGAACATTTTGAATGAAGTCTTAAGCTTCATTCAAAAGGATATGGAATATATGTACTGTGGAATCCTCTAGTTCCAGGTAGAATGTATGCCGCATTCATTCCGCCGGTCGGGTTTTTACGTTTTTGCGTGTCTATCACTGTCTAAACTTTAGTTAGATGGCTAGTATATCTTCACATTTCCTTATAGTTCGTAGGAAAGTGTGGTTCGGTAAAGCTCTTTTGGTAATTCTTTCATAAACACCGATAAATAGAACGGTGATGCTTTATTTATTTTATTTTTATTTTATTGAACTACAAAATCCATAGCCCTTAGTTTACATGTATATCACATATGCTTAACTTACAGCCAAGAAATGATTTACATTTTATAGTTTTTTTTTTATAATTTAATATTTTTTTACACTTAAATAAATAATATTGTAAAAATTTAAAGAGTGCTTTCCACAACAACACGCGTCTTCCAAAACGTGTAACAAAATAAATTTATAGTACAGTCCGCCAATTAAAAAAAGAAATTAAAAGAACTTGTATTAAATAATTTTTAACAAAAAAAAAACTACTTCAATCATCAATCAAAAACGTTGTTAATTTTATTGCCCTCGATTTCTCTCTCCTTACCATAGTACCAACCTTGGGATATCCGTTTTAAAACCTTTCCGTTATAAAAAGAATCATCATAATCGGCTCATAAGCGAGGAAGTTATCCGCGAACACACATAAAAAAAATATATATACGGTCGAATTGAAAAAACCTCCTCCTTTTTTGAAGTCGGTTAAAAAGTTCTTTTAATGTTGGTGTTTCAAATAAAGTGCAATGGATTCCACTGAATACGCATCAAGCACAGTGCTAATTTTAATTTTTAGATTCGGTCAATATTTTAAAATTTGATACTAGTCTTGTTTTTTTTTCTTTTTTAATAAAGATGTACTTTTAAAAAAAATATTTTTAATGATCTTATAGTAATTACAGAACAACGATAAGTCTTGCCACCGTAAGAAAATTAACCATGAAAAGTTAGTAGCAAATATTTGTACTTACATTGCTCTTTATTAATCATAGAACGGTGTTCTTATTTTATAAGTTTTACAAGTTTGTAAGTGAAAATTTGACTTTCGTATTTCACAGTGACACCAATGGTTGCATGCGATTTAGTGCGGGTGATAAATTAAATAATTGATGTTACTTTGAACTAGGAAAATATTATTGTCTTTAAAAATCTTCAAAAAGATTTTCTTTTGTCATCAACTCTAAAATATAAGCACATTATATTTTATACGTTTACGCAAGTTTTTGGTTACAATATATACTGGAATACGTCCGAATCATCGCCCAAGCAGTGCTAATTTTTAATAAAACTACTACCTTTTCAAGTATTCCTATTTTGACGCCATCTTGTCTCGTTTTTCTTTTTAATGCATTTTCAGTGTTAAGGAATGCGATTTAGTTACAACTGAAATAGTTTAGAATTTTGTTTACAAATGAAAACGAATATTTTGTATTAATTTTTGGTAGATTAAGAAATGTAGCCTGCTGTTTCGAAGCAACCTTGTTTGTAAGCAATATAATGTCTGTTCGAAAATTAATAATCGGCGATTATTTTTGATATTAGGCTGTATGTTACTAAGTAAGTGACTATTGTAAAAGTAAACCATTGAGAGAAATAGGTTAGTTATAAGTATTATGGCACGGTTTAGGCTTAACTTTGCGAATAAATATTTCATAGCAGACACAATCTTTCATGGGAAAGGAAGATGTATTGGAAACACTACACGAATAGCTTTATATATGTCGACTGTTACTTCACTAAATTTCCCAATTATTGCCATGTCATTGTCTGGTTAACGAAAGTGTATTTCTAATTAATTTAAATTTTAGCAACATTTGAAATAGAATGGTTCTGTAATCTAAAACTATTTCAAAATGTTCTATATAAACTTTGTTTCGCTAAAAAGTTCCAAGGCAAGTCTTTTTAGTAACTCGAGCAAAACATTATAAGCAGGCGGCCTTATGAATTTCTTGTGCAAGTTAGCTTAGTTAAATTTTTTAATCAGTATCTACGAAACTTTTTAACACAGCTTACATTAAATTTTAGTTGTCTAGTGACGTATGTAAGCTTTAATGATTTAAATAGTAACAATTTAGGTAGTTACGCTTTTATCTCTATCTCCATCACAAATTTAAACGAAGTACTCTTCCAAATAGCCGCGTATCGACTGACCGAGCAGCCTCGCGAGGCAAATGATCGGCTAGTAGTTATAACTAGCCTCATCCGAAGTAGACGCGCACAGGTTTACCGTGCATAAGTGAAGGGATGCCTGAAATACCAGTAATGCCTGATTTTTCAGATAACTGTCAAAAATTAAAAAAAAAAACATTACGTTACGACAAAAGGGCGCGAAATTTTAAAATGCCTGTCTCTGATCAGAGCCGGCCGCACGACGATCACTTACCATCGGTTGAACATCCTGGTCGTTTGCCCCTTTTCTCCAAAAAAATGTAGACGACTATGGGATGCGCAAAGTTCCGATTATACTAGTTCCATACTAGTTCCGATTATATAGAGGGCTAAAGGAAGATGCGTAGAGGAATATAAACCGCAAAATAAGCATGCCTGTTAAGAAATTAAAAAAACAATTTCTAGGATCTAATAGGAGGGGAAATCATTATTTTGGTATTTATAAGAGAGCATATATTTTCAAATTCACTTCTACTTACTTTAGTAAAATTACTTTATTCATAATCGAAGCAGAACTTAATTTATAACGATCTTGAGCGAAACTAAATATATTCGTCTCGGACTTGCCCTGTACATCTCGTGCAAAAAATCGACAGACCTGCCGCGCACGGCAACCGTCAGAGCCTGCTCGGTCCGTTATTACGCGTCTAACCACAACAAAACTAAATATATAAATACTCACAAACCTTTCTGTTAAAGTATAAAATAATGTAGGCATCCTGTTAAGTATTGATGTGTCAAAGAATAAGAATTAAAGAATAACTGGCAATCAAAAGCGGAAAGAGAGAAAACGTTAACTGTTATAATAATATAAATTGATTAGTGTTTCATTGTGATGGGTAACACGCGTGCTTAAAAACAGTCTTTGATGATTGCGCAAATCATATATTTGTTGTTACTTGATTATTTTTATACGGTATATTGATGAATGTTGCATTTTTGAGTAGATTATAAAATTTTAAGTTTGCAATACGATTTGTTTGTTTTATTTGTTTCCCCCCACCGTAAATTATTATATAAGAATTTGCGCAACTAAACGTTAATGGCTGTTTTGCTGTTGTTCTGTAATGTGTGGTAAACAAAACCCTTTTCTGTCGCAGGAAAGACCAGTTTGTTCGAGAGGGTAAGTAGTTATTTGACTAAGAAAACTTCTGGAAGACCAGTATCCATTTTGACTATGACATGCCCTGTATAGCAGAAACTGCTGCGTGGGCGTGCGTCTCTGAAACAGTACCTCGACGCGCGGCGTCACAGACGACCGACATTATCACTTTCACGTTTTATCTAGAGTGAAGTAGGCGGGACCTACGCATTGGTCTGTCATACTACTTCGCGTCTCCTGAGTGTAGTCGAGTAGACGGTTCACCAGATATTAAGCGTTAACCGCTATTATACACGTCTCTCTCACAACTCATTTGGAAGTGTAGATGCTTTACCAGCTTTAAAGCGATTGTTCCCCGCTCGAATTATTTGCCAAAAACAGCGCGAACAACTAACATCTATATAATAATGGGTTTCAAATAACAATATGATGCAGAAATTAGTGATATGAAAGCGCTAGATTCCGATTAAAACTTCATCGTTCACGCTAAATATAAACTTCATCGTACATTCTAAATACTTGTAAATAAATATTATTTCTAAATGTCTGCTTTGCTCAACTCGCCTAACTGGTTTGAATTAATAGCTATGGCGTCACAAAATGGCGCGAGGTCAGTCCTAATCTTATTTGCAACGCATTTTACTTTTATAAACAAGCTAGCTCCAAGTTAGGTTCTTTATACCAAGGCGAAACAATTTAGTATCTTTATATATAATACATACATGGTGCTATACGGCGAATTTTACGTTTATACGATTCAATATGGGAGGCCTTTTTAGAATTATAATATTGTCGTCACACCCATGCATAAATATTTGACTATTTCTGTCGCGGTTAAACTTATATGCACTAATCTATATCATTATGGATAACATATCAGTGATTGCTTATCTGCCAGTATCTGAAACCATATATGTAGAATCTTAATATTTTTGGATTACCAACATTGTGGAGAATTGATAACGACGTTACGTCGAAACGTAACTTATTTATTGAATATGGTTAGTATTTTTATGCACCCTCACTCCATATTGTTCCAAAGTATTAAGTTAGCGTAGGCAACAAAATAATACACGATTGTATACATCGACTTTAATATTTATTATATGAGGCATACAGATTTCTATTACTATTGTAACGTTTGAAAACATAAAAATAAGCAAAAGCATGTAAAAAATGTACATAACAATTTAATATTATCACTTGCTCAATAAGAGATCACAATAAAATATAAAATATTTTAAACAAAATACAAGTATAGACAAAGTGTTTTACACACAGGTATATAAACTCTCAACCATTATTAAGATAAAAAATAAATGCTTGTGGAACAATGTCATGTTCATTGTAAAATGAGGATATAAGAAATATAAGAAGTGTCATCATCTCTGCACTGGTATAGAAAAATTAATTTGAAGACTCGAAATAAAAACCAGTTAAAACGGTAAATTATAAACTACAAAATAGGATGTTACTTAAATAAGCGACTATTTTACTTATTGTCTAACACTTGCACTACTTTGCGAAAGCTTACATTTTTCTCTCTTACTACTAGGTAATCTAAGAACATATAACTTACTCCTACCCGTAAAAGCGAATCATAGGAATTAATACAAAACTTAAAAGTGACTAGAGAACATCCTCACAGACTGAAAATTGTATGACATTTATTTTGAAAGGAGAGCGCAAATTAAACAGCATTTTTTACTATGAATATTTAAAATTAGATACTTTCGCTTCGTTAACCTATGAGCTACATTATACACTTGTGGTAAACATTTATCTTCCTTAAGTTGATTTTATGAGTATAAGCACTATTAAGAGTCATAAAATAGGAAATTTTGCTTTAAGAGCAGATAATAAAAGTTAACATGTTATTAAAAAAGTAATTAAAATCTTTGAAATTAAAAAAAAATCTCCTGCAAGACACCTACTTTGATGGTTGAGTTTTAGAAGAATTTTCGCCTTTTGAAGTCCTCGCGTACAAACTTCTGATACAGAAGGCATTGGATTTCTTCGTTGTCAATGGCTTTGAATTTATCCACGGTTGCCTTGCATTTATTGTAATACGGGTTGGGACAGTCGGCGGGGATGAGCATCAAGGCCAACAGATGTGTCTCTGTGAGTGCGTGGTCCGTCAAATTGTTACATACCATCAGGCGCACCAAGTCGACGTTTCTGTTGATGGCGCAGGAGAGCACTGAGATGTGATTGTTCACCAGCCCGGTGATCAGCGGGAGGAAGCTCCTGTAGAACTGGCCCTTGTTGACATGATCGGCTACGAGGTTCCCAATCTCTCTGGCGAAATCCTCGTACGTGCTGTCCTCTTCGAGGCATTCGAATTTGCCAATTTCGTTGTACTTAAGCCTCCCGCATACCACCCTAGTTAATATCGTCAGACGCAGGTCCCATATCGTCATGTAGATTTCCCGCGTCGGCAGCACGTCCAGGGCGGTGAGCAGAAACGTTTCGAATACACAATTGACCTGTTTGAAGTTGCGGAAGTGACAGTTGCTGTTCGCTCGCAAACTGGTCACGAGGTTCGTGAAGAACAGCCTAACGGTGTACATTTCACCGTGCACCACGTCCCACATTTCCGCGCAGCAGTTCACTATGAACTTGGCCAATTCGACGCACGCCTTGCTCTCGTCTTCGTTCGTGAACGTCACTATGAACCTAGCGATGAGCTCCCATTTCGCTTTGACCCTCTCGCTCATTTCGCGACTCTTGTAGCTCGGTCGGATTTTCCTCTCCGCTAGCATTTCTTGTACGTGCGGCTCGACGATGTTCTGCATCAGGAAGTCTCTATCCATTAGATTCATGTTGGATTTGATGGTGCGCAGGAGTCGCGCTTGACACTCCAAGTTTGACGTTTTCTCACTGAACATACTGACCGCCATCCAAGCGGTGACTAGGAAATCGCCTCTGAGGTGCTCAGGCATGCGGCCCGATGTGATCAAAGAGAAAATCGCCTTGTCGTCCTCATCGTGCAAGTCCAAAGTGAACATTTTCAATGCTTCGTAAAGCTCCATTTGCGACGCTTCCTCTTCCTTCACTATCTTATCAAATAGCTTCTCGTAGAGGATCAACCTTAGAGAAATGTTCTTAGTTTTGCCCCAAACGGATGTGACCAGATTCCTCAAGTCCTCCGCCGTGTAGGACTTGAATGCCAAACGCAAGCCGTGCTTCTGTATGGAAAGTGGAGAGTTCAGTGTAGTTTCAATGAATTTCATGGACAGCGGACGCGGTAGATTTACCAAGTAGTGGCCAAAAACGGGCAGGCAAAAGTGTACGTAGTCACCCCTCAGGTACCAAAGGATGTTCTCTAGAGGGACGGGTGGTCGGGAATAGCAAGAGAAACGGCAAATTGCCTCTCGAATGTATAACAAAGTCCTGTCAATGTTCTGATGGTCTATTTTCGGTTCTACGGGCGCGTATTGACACATAAAGTCTATTTTGAACTTGTCGTCTGCTAACTGGAAGATGCAGTAGACCGAAGTGTATATTGATAGCGAAACTGTTTCGGGCTCCGATAGCAAACTGATGAAGAAATTAAGAAACTCGTTGGCGATGTCCATTGAGAAATATATTTTCAGCTTTCTCATCAACTGGTTGAGCTTGAAAGTATAACTGCTACTCATGGTTGATCTTAGATCGTGAAAGGTATCGTTCAGCAAAGTCGCATCTTCCTTCAACAATCTAATCAAATCGTATTCCTCCAACAGTGTGATCTCCACCTTTTGTTTGAATATATGGTGGGTTTTATAATTGTCCCAGTCCAAATCTATGTACGTCATTATAATGTCTGGACAGTCCTCCTTCGTTTTGTCGTATATTTCCAAGACACGCAAAACCATCGATATGTACTGTGTGATAGTTTTTTTAACATCCCCCTCGTAATCTTTGCCTTCAAATTCCTGCACTTTCTCGATATAGAAATTCATGAGGTAGTCATAAAGTATTACTCGTTTATCCTCGTTAAGTTTATCCGTATATAAATGACTAATGCCAGAATAGAGGATGTCCTTGAAGTGCTCAGGTACCTCTTTTCCGTGGACAATGCAAAAGATCAGCACAATCAACCTGAAGTCTGTCATGTAAAAGCAACCTGGATTACTATAAATATCCATGCTGTACAGTATCTTATTAAAAGCATTCCAGCAGTCTTCATCAAACTCAAACACGTTGTGATGGAGCATTACCGTATTCATGAACTGTTCTTTGCTAGACGAACTTTCATTCACATGCCGGTCATAATAATACTTGAACAACATCTCCAGTTCGCGTTGGGTCTTCGCAGATTCCACTAAAACGTTGACTATTTCCGTTCTCTTGTCTCTATCGGTCGTTTTCATTGCCCATTTTTTAATACCCGGCAGAGCCTTACCGAAACTGACAAAGCGGTACAACTTGAACTCTTCCCTGGGGCCGAATATTTCACTTTGACTCTCGATGTGACGCAGTGCCCACTGCTCGCGTTCCTCTACCGTTAACAAGTCGTAGTAACGGTAATGAAAGAAATTGGGATTCATCTCGAACTCTTCACCGGGATAAGAGTCCGCATATAACTTTTTTAAGAAGACAAACAACTCCGCCTTTGGTATAATATCAAGGATGTATTTGTATGACCATCGAAAATTGTCATGCCAGAAAATTGAACATGATCGCGGGATTAAGGATATGGCAAACGCTTTAGCATCTTCGACTGTACTATACTTCACGGTCATTTTTTTATTGAGGATGGGTAAATATAAGAAAGGCTTATTTAAGACTCTGTCCTTGTGCTTGATCATTATGTCCTTCGATATTCTCAAGCCAAGCATTTCCGGCATCAGTTTGGTTTCAATTTTTCCATATCTCTCAACTAAGTCCAAATACTTGTCATTGGAGACAGAGTAGAAATGCCGAAGGCGGTACAGAAAGGGCCATGCTTGCGTTTCTATAGGGCGAAAGAAGGCCTCTAAAAGTTGAATTGAATCACCAAAGAAATGCCTTGAATAATCAGTTTCATCATGTAAAAAATCATAGGAGACTTTTTGTTCATTTATCATTTTAAGTTTGAATGACTCGGATGTATACAGTAAAAACTTTAATGCAATATTCATAATTTTCTGACTATTGCAGTAGTTAAAGAATGCAATAACCCTATCTTCAGTTCTTAAATATATTGATATTGTTGTCAGCATTTTCTTCTTCATTTTTATAGACATATAAGGAAAAATATTTCCATGTAGATAGTCCGGATTTATAATGTTTGAATATGCATCATCATACATCCATGTAGATTTGAGGGCTCTTGAAATGTACAAGCTGTCGCCCCCTTTCAATATTTCAAGAATATAATCAATGTTCTTATAGTTTGATGCTACATCTATTTTAAAAAGTTTATCAACATCAGAAGCTTCAAGTTGATTTTTAATGGAATCAAATGCAACTTTTTTATTTATTGTTTCTCTAACTTTCTCATTTAGTTCTTTTTGCCTTGAAGGCAAATTAATTCCCCTTAAATCAATCATTTTTATGTTTATCTGAAAAGAATAATTTACATTAGTATTTATGTATGAATATTTGATTAGCCCGCATATATAATGTGATAATAATGCAGTGTTAGATTGAAAAATTGTATATTTATAGAGTACATAAAATAAGATAGAATATTTATAGAGTTCATTAAATAATGCTTTTTAGATTAATTACTTAAACTTGCCACAAGTATGCATGAGTTTAACTTTTGAGGATTGAATTTTCAGGCCACAGACTTTATACAGCTTCATAAAGCACAGGGATTATGGAGGTTTAATTTCCAAAAGAACATCACATATTAATTTTTATTGGATGATAGTGTACCAAAGAAGAAGCACAATGAAAAGGTGACAGACTAAGACACAATCTCAACTTTAATTATATATAAAATTCCATTTAGTATTTTTGAGGACACTAACAATTCATTAACATTTCAAATCGGAAATTTTATTTTGATTTACCTATTTAAAAACTGATTGACTAATGACTGTGAAGACTGTTAAGAATCATAAGAGACACGACAGTGAAATTAGGTCCTCGGACCTCAATTATTGGCCATTAAGCAGTATTACCATAACAGCACACATTTTTACCACCATTTCATAAGGCACAATAATGACTTTAGGTCTTATAGATGATTTTTTTTAATTAGAGAAAGTGGCAAACAAGCTAGCGGATCACTTGATGTTAATTGATAACCATGGACATCAGCCAACACAGTACAGTTGCAGATGCATCCTTTTAATAAAATTCTAAACCTTTCAATAAAGACTACCTCAATGACCAGACGAAATTCAGATGTGTAAACACTTCATGCCGGTCTTCTGTGAGGTTGTGGTACTAACCTGGACGGACCTGCCCATTGGTGCAACAGTGAATACTGTTGTGTGATCCTATCACAGTTAAAAGTAATAAAAATCTTTGAAGGGTTTAAAAACATTTATACAAAAAAAAAATGATAATTTTTACTTGAACTATTTAAAAAAATATACATTTCAATAGATGACAAATGCATCAGTATTGTCCAAGTAAAGTTACAAATATAATGATGGTAAACACATCTTTAGTTACCAGTGATAACAAAAATAGGAGAACTAATTACACACAATTTTGAAATAATGGTACCTATATCAAATGTCCAATGATAATGGGATAAAGTAAAGTGTTACTTTAATATTAATTATGTAAAATTACATCATCAGCAATATTGATAAAAAAAGATTATTCCAAGTTGATTGTTAAACTTTTTATTATAAATTTAAAATTCCTATAGAAAAAAAGTAAAGTAACAGCCCATTTACCCATTTACTCACTGCTGGACAAAGGCCTACTCTGTACATAGGGTATCAACGCATAGTCCACCATGCGAACTTGACATATCTTCGAAATATATTTTTTGTTATTATTTCCAAAATATGCAGGTTATGCTTTCCTTCACCACAGAGCATGAGACAAGTCAGCGCATAATATTAATAATTTCATTAGTGCTCAAGTATATTGAGTTAAAAGTGAGCGCCAGGACACTGAGCTGACACTGAATTCTAGATCTGTGATACAGTTCTAAAATTTCTATATCAACATTTAATTGTGTAAACTCTGTATAATAACATTTAAGGAACTGCACATTTTTTGACATTATAGTTATTGGTAATTGGAGAGAAAAATATTGATATCATTTTAAATATTTATTTACTAACATAGTGCAAATTTTACAAACCAAAAAAATTAATACTAATAAAAATAACAATGCTTATTGGATATAGCCTGTTATCTTTATAGTTTAACGGTGGGAGGGCCACGCAGTAGCCTCGGCTGTTTGCCAAATGGGCAGGTCCGGCCAGGTAAGTACCACAACCTCACAGAAGACCAGCGTAAAGTTAAAGTATGACAAATACCTTCTCGTTTCGTCTGGTGAGTGAGGTAGCCAGAGCCCAATTTTCAAAAGGTTGTCAATACATGTGTCACCCTCGGGTGTGGCAGATGTCCATGGGCGGCGGTATTCACTTAACATCAGGTGAACCGTCAGCTCGTTTGACAACTTTTCACATAAAAAAAATCTTTGTCCGATGTTTTTTGCTGCTCATGCTTTTTAATTGTATTTTCTAAAGTATTTTACTAGTATTTATTAGTATTTTACTCATCTTGGGATACTGTAGTAGTATGTCATAAGTACTGCTGTAGTTTTTACTAGGTTTGGCAATTTAGAAAGTACCTACTGCTTAATTTTGTCGTACTGTTATCATTATTTAGAGTGGGCTGATGCGACCAAAGTCAAGTAATTTCGATGTTTAATCTGTATTACTTGGTCGTCTTTAAATCGAGTGTCACTACATAGACTTTACGCAGTACTTCTACATATGCGTTTATGAAACTATAGCCCCCATATTCAAAGAGGATAAACCAATTATTCTCATCGATCAATTGGAGTAAGAAGATTAATTGCTTTCCAGCAGCATAGACAAATGTGAGAATCAGAAATTACTTTGGAAAATAATTAGTTAAACAAACAGACAAGACGTTAAGGCGTTAAAAAGGAACTTTTCCAAGTGAATTTTTAACTAATGAGCATACCTGTAAATTCAATACATTGTCCTGTCAATATTTCTTCTTAATCGAAATTTGTGGAGACACGCAAGTAGACTGTACCGGTAGGTCAGATTACAGTATTTCAGATATATAAAAGTACTCTTTGCTGTAAATTAGTACTTAGAAATCTTAGATAAAGATAGAATCAACGGAGCAGTCAGTAGGTACGCCCTATTCATAGATAAGACATATGTACTGGCCCTATTTGATTTGATAATTTGATTAATAATTTGCTGTCATTAGGGTTAGGTATGCCGAAAAAATATCGATATGTCGATATTTTTGTTTTTAAAATATATCGATATTTTTGGCCGATATATTTTGATCGGATATAGCGATAAAAAACATTGAATATCGAAGTCGTATCAAAAACAATATTTTTATTCAAGCTGATTCATTAATTATAATCAAATTCTCAATAATGAAATGTCACACGATATAATATCGAGTTTTCATAACAAATTTGACATTATAAAAATTATTATCATTTAACCACTTAAGTAACTTTTTTAAATAGTCGTTCAGCATTTTCACGTCAATTAAACAACTATTACTAAATTCTGTTGATCCTGTTAAATAATTCTTTACGTTTTTTTACAACGTTAATGTTCTTTAATTAGTTATTTTTTGATTCGAATCACGGCTAAAGAAAGTACTCCAATGAAGGTCTTGATAAATAACGTACCGAGAAATTTACATTAGTAAAAGAAATTTGATTAAAATTAATAAATTATTAATATTTTAAGAAAATTTCTCATTCATTTAAATAATGTGAATTTGGTCTAAAAATTACTATTAATTATTATTGAATAAGACTGAACTAAACACATAATTTTTTTAAAACTGAAAATATGACCAATATGTCGATATATCCATATTTTTTTCTTCGATGTATCGAAGCCGATTTTGATATTTTTATAAATATCGATATTTTTTTTAAATTTCGGCATCCCTAGATTTGATTAACTGACATGACACTTTTTTTGTTTTACGTGGGAAAAATCCTATAGGGATCCCCCGCCGCCTTGTGGGTAGGCAACAGAGGTATGTGGGAGTTACGGGGTACCCACTAAAAAACCCATGTTGCACCTGCGCTGTCGCTTTGCCGGGGACACGGGAACACGAAAACGCAATCTTCCGCGAACCCCGGTGCGACTGTGGCCTTCTCAGGCCTCCTCTCCCCGGGTGCTTAGACACCCGATTCAGCCAAAGTTCCGAGAGAACCTGCGTCGCCCGGGAGGTGAGGGTGCCGTGACGCCTGTCCAGCCACCGACTGAGTACCGGACGTATGGCCTCTATTGTTCTTGTGCCGGCACTGGGGTGCTCCAGCCTCTGCTCCCACTCGGCGACAGCGAGTGACCTTAGTCTGCGCCCCCTCAAAACTGACATGACACTAGACCAACATCAGAAAAAGGGACAGGGTTGCAGTTAGGTGCGGTAAAAAAGATAGTACAAAAATCTTAAAACATAGTATTTGACAAAAAATTATAAATTTTTAAAGTTTTTTATAGTGCTAATCTCTGCACTTATGTTTGTATGCTGGAAAGGATATAACAATAGATGCGCCAAGCATTGCTCCAAATGCTAAATAACAATGTAGAAAGAAGGCGTTAAGGTTTTCGTCGCTGTGGCTATCAGCCGTTTAGCTCAGTGGCTAGAGCGTCAGGCCGCGAATGCCGAAGACGTGGGTTCGATTCCCACAGCGGCGACATTCTTTTCGTACTTTTTCTACATGTTTTAAAAAATTATAGTAAATTTTTATTTTCATAATTAATGCACAAAAAATAAATTATTTTACTCAAAATCTTGCAGAAGATTTTTATCAGTTTGAATTATGAACAAGAATGGAACGGCTGTACTATAAAAAAGTGCGTGTGTACTTATGTACATGTGTTATAAGTTATTCTTCTTTGGCGTAACAACATAAAATTTTTTTCAAACATTTTATCTTTGGCCTTATTCTACGTTTGTAGAAAAAACGATTCTAACAATAGAAAAAAGGTATTTAATACGTTGAAAGTTTTATTATAACGCGTTATCTAGTTAAATAAAGTTCATTTAAATATCACAAAATAATTATCGTAAACACAGTTGTCAGTTCTAATGCAAACATACGTAGATGTCTAGCTAACTTCAAGGTGTCGGTTTTTGGTGACGGTGTGCGCGAGCATCGTAAAATTTACTTTCATCATTTTTCCCTAACGCGCCAAAAGAAGTATAACTTCAATAATAAATTAATCGTACTATTAGCCACCTATGAACTCTATGTCTTCATTAAGTGCAATATGCAAAGTGACTGTTTGAGAAAGCGGATTATCGAAAAAAAAGTACCATTAACGGGATGTCCCCGTTGTTAATTGTTCGTCGTGAAAACTATTTACAATGTATTCAGATATATAAAATACTTAAACATTTCAGATATATAGTAGCTGAGTATAGTAAAAAAGTACTCTGTGAATGTGTTAACCGACAATGATAATACAAACTATATCTTCTAATATAAATAAATAAAATTTTCTTTTAAAAAATTGAACTATTTGTTTGATTGTGATGATACTCGAACAAATGGTTCAAGATGAAACGTTGATGGGTAATGGATTATATATTTCAGAATAAGCATAATATTTATACATAATAAATTATTCTATTATTTAAATAAGGCTATCAAAATAATTATTAATACAATAATAATTAAATAAATGTGCTTTAATTATATAATTATATATTTCATTTTGTTTATTTGTTATTGAACGCAACACTAAGTCTTATACTGTTTGACAGCACATCATTCATAAAGATAAAATGGCGGTTGTTGTATTAGGAAATATACTCTGCCCGATTTTGGTTTTACAATTCGTGCGATTGTGAATTTAACCTTAAAAATATATTTCGATTGTGCGCTGTTTTTGTATGCAATAATTATATTACTTATGGACTGATAAAAGAAATGGTTAATTTTAATAACAATACATAACTATCTAACATTTTAGCGGTATTTTACCGCATTTATTTACGAAACAATAACTTAATTATCTATTAGTTCAGTTTATACAGTTGTTATTTATGAACGATATTTTATGTGCCGAAATTATGTCACGTTAAATGTGCTTTGGTGTTTACAAAATTAAATCGGGATGTGCTTTTGAGAAAATTCCCTCTAAAATGGGCGAGACAGAAGAATTTAATACACTCACTTTTGAGAAGAAGTTGATGCACTTGAAGGATACCCAGGAAAGCATCCAATCATTGTCCTCTTGGTGTCTAAAGCAAAGGGAACATCATAAAAAAATTGTTTCAAGTTGGCTAAATGTTTTAAAACGAGTGAAGGTCGAGCAGAGACTGGTGTTGTTCTATTTGGCCAATGATGTTATTCAGTATAGTAAGAGGAAGAACTATGAGTTTGTCGAGAGTTGGGGTCTGAATTTACAAAAAGCTACCCCACTTGTTAGGTAAGATAAATGATTACTTTTTCGATAATATAAGTCTATCTACAAATCAAAATTTAGTTTAGTTGTAACTTGAGAATGGCTACGTAAAGTTCAAATGTTAAATACATCAATTTTTGGGTATTGAGAATATGACAGATGTTAATTTTTGCCATGCATTTGGTTTTGTTAACATTAAACATGTTTTAATGATTAAAAGTATAGTGACATTTTGATTTTCAACAATTTCCAATAATTATCCCATTTAAGATTTGCTAACAAAGAACTGTTTGATATAGTTAATTTGCACTCAAAATTCAAATATCTTTATTTTACATAGGAGTACTACACTCACTTATTGATAGTCAAACTTATTGGTAGCACCAATACACTTCTGCCAACTAAGCTAAATTAACATTGTTTATTGGACATTAAGTTCCTGGATGTATTAAATAGTACACCTAACTAAGCCTTTCAAATGTTTCAATGTAAACAAATATTAAACCTAATTGAGATAAAACGTGAAATAGTGACACCAAAAACCTTTGAGAAATATAATGGCTTTTCATAATATATTATAACAATAAATTTTGCATTTATTTCTTAATTTTACGTGAATATTACACATAGTAATTAAAATGCGATAAAATTTGTAAACTAGTCTCATTTACTAAATTATTTGTTTTTATTTTTTATTCATACAAAACTTTAACTATTCATAAAGTAAATAAGTAATTGATGTGAAGCCTCAACCGCACAAAGGTTTGGATAAACAAACCTTGTTTTTGACACTTGAAATTTTCATATATGATGTAGGTATTTCTATTGCCGCTATAAAAACAAATACTAAAGAACAGATTAAAAAATATTTAAGTGGGGGGGGGGGGTGGGGGGACTCCCATACAACATACATGATTTTTTTCATGATTTATTTTTTTATTTTTATTTATGATGTTTTTATAAAACCGGCTGCTTGGCTAGTTTTTACCAACACTCAGGCGAGCCAAAGTCTTACATTTATATTTAACTAGCGACCCGCCCCGGCTTCGCATGGGTGAAATGTATTATACATATGAACCTTCCTCTTCAATCACTCTATCTAGTAAAAAAACCGCGTCAAGATCCTTTGCGTAGTTTTAAATGCACAAGATGCACAGTAAAGGGACATTTACATTTCAAGTGACATTTTACCACAGTCACTCACTAGTTTTGCCTTCGCAGAACCCCTCCACTTTCACTTAAACTTTATGGTATGGTATTAAAGTTCAAATTGACTTTTAAGTATTATTACGAATCTTTTGTACGGGAATATAGAAAAGTGTTATTTTTAGACTTTTTCAGGCAATTTTTTAAATTTCCTCTCCGTAAGCACCACCCTCGTACTTCAAGGAATATGAAAAAAAAAAAATTAGCGAAATCGGTTCAGCTATTCTCATGATTTACGCTTAGCAACACATTCAGCGATTCATTTTTATACATAGAGATAATACTTACATTTATTATTTCCTCATTATGATTTTTATTTTTTTGTGTCTTAATTGTAAATCATCGAATCAAATTAAAATAACCATTGGCAACAAGTTTACGGTATTTTGGGAAAGTAAAGTTGTTTGTAAAATTTAAAACTTTTATTGTAAAAAAACCCTTGGTAGTAAACCTTCTAGCTGAAATACATGAAATATGTATAATTTTAATTATATCTGAGCAATAGTGTCTAGAGAATAAAAAACTAGAGTGAAAATATAATATAAGCCTGAGTGCAATTAACAAATATTGGTAAATAAGGTTGTACTTTTATCACCATTAGCATTGTTTTAAAAAGGTCATGTACATAATTAAGCATAGTTTCTCTTTGCTTTAAAACCATAATTATTCTTTTTTTGCACCTCTTAACATTACAGGGATGAAAAAGTTCGACCAAAAATTCTTAGAATATTCAAGATTTGGGAACAAAGATCAGTTTATGATGATGAGTTTCTATCGGATTTGACTGGATTACTCAGTGCAGGGGCTGTTAAGAAGACTGATGATGACCCATTGGATTTTCAAGTGAGATAAGTTTGCAATTGTAATTAAAACATTAAGTGACTTTCATGCAATTGTAATTAAAACATTAAGTGACTTTCATGCAATTGTAATTAAAACATTAAGTGAAAAGTCGTAATTAGGATTTTTTAAAAGTATTTATTGATATCATATACAGCGTGTCGTTACAACCGCTACAATAAATGAATATACATATAGAGCAGGGGTGAGCAACCTTTTTAATCAATGGGCAAATTTTTTTGGCGTGCCATATAAACATGTTTAAGGGGCCGCGGGCCGCGCGTTGCTCATCCGTGATATAGAGGATAACTTTTTAAAATTGTATTAAACATTTACATTTTTAAACATCAATATTTACCAAGAGGGTCTCTGAATGTATGAATCAGTCAATTGTAGCTGTATAGGTGATACAAATTTGTTTCTTTTTTAGTTAATTAATTTGTTTGAAAATTATTATTCTTTTTAATTATGGTTTTTTTGATTATTGGCAAGTATTGTTAGAAGTGTGTTAATTTAATGTTGCAGTTGTAACAACATGCTGTATAAAAATTTAATAACTGTATTTTCAATAATTTTCATCTAAAATGAAGATATTTTATATAAAAGACAGACAGGGCAGCATTTTTTGTCATTAATAATAATGTTTTACAGTATACTATTGTTTAATAGGGTGATATGTTGCAACAATTAGAAAAATTGATAGGAAAATTGAGTGTTTATTTAATTGGATAATGTAAAATATTTAATAATTTAGTCCCACCAATGAGCATCATCCGTAGATGCTGTATTCAGTGCTGGAGTGTGTTTTTTATATAATAGTATAAGTTTTTCAAATTAAAAAGGTAAATCACCTCTTCTAGCCTCAACAGCTCATCAACAAAATCAAACAGTGCACAGTGCTGGAGTCAGATACGGATTTAAGATTGAAGTATATACACGAGAGTCATTTACAGCTCTCTGATGCGGATGCTTTGCGTGCTAGTCTTAAAGGTATGATATAAAATTTGGTTCTTTTCTCTAATTATTATTTTTTTCATTTCATTTTTTTCATATTTTGTATAATAATTTCTTGTATTTACGCGATTACACATAATAAATGAAACTAATTTTACGGATTTATCGCGTTTATTTTAATTTTAATTCCCGACGTTTCCCGAAAGTGTTCGAAACGTCGGGAATTAAAATTAAAATAAACGCGCTAAATCCGTAAAATTAGTTTCATTTATAGTGATATTTTTTAGTTATTGAATTATCACATTTAATATTTATCCACAATTAATATTTATTAATATTATTATTAATATTTATCCACATTTAATTAATTTTAAATACAAACTTTTGCATAGAAAGGTCGCATACAACCTGGTGGTTGAAGACAAGTGATTATCGCCGTCCACGGATATTGATAGTATAACTTCTTACGTGGTTTACACTTTATTTTATATACCAAAAGGCTCAGAAGGGTGTCTCCATTGGCTGGAAATCACCATGGCCATAAATTACTGATTCACAGAATTCAATAAGATGGTATAAATGGTATTTTGTTTGTTTTTTTATTATAATATTAAATTAATAATTTCTTATATTGCAGATAGAAGTAATAAGGACGACGTGGAAAAGGAGCTGAATGAAGGCATAGCCTGCGTGGAGAGATATACACAAGCTCTGCAGAGAGAGATAGTTGCTCGGGAAGCACTTTTAGCTCTCCTGGCATCAGCCAATCAATACTATTCCACTCAAAGAGGAGAAGTGAAAGTTGTTGCTTATGTTAGTTCATTCTATTGCGCTACGAATTATAGTATCAACTTGTTTAGAGAATCCTTTATAATAATCAATAAGATCATTATTTTACAGATATTAAGGATCTTGTATGAATACATAATTTAAAAAGTATTTCCTATTAAAAAGAAGCCCTATATCAAATGTTTTATGATAAATTCAACATACACCACAGTTTTGTACAAAATGTAATATTTAATGTCATTTTACAGGCGTACAAAACATTTGGTGCGCGTGTCCGCGCGTTGAAACGTAAATTGGACGAGCTGACACCGACGTTACCGAACGCAGCGCCTTCCCCCCCACAGAGGGATGAAGATGTCCCTTCACCAGGTCCCGACGAAGACCTGGACCTCCCCAACAACGTTGAGGCTAGCGAGGATGACAGTGAGTTCATTTCATTGCACGCAAAACAAGAAAACAAAAAGCTTTTTTGCTTTCGACTTAGGTGGCTCCCAAGGCACGCACCTTAGTCCCATCTTCTTAATTGATTGAATTTTGAATCAATGCGCTGCGGAAGTTTACCATAACATTGCGCACTATACGGTTATTAAAGAGCATTTCTCTGGTTGTCACCGGAGTTTGTTTCTTTCTTTCTCACTAACTACTGGTCACGAACTACGTTATTCGGCGTAGTGATTATACATCCTTTGAAATACCTTAGGTAGTTTAGAATCAATAGTATGAATAGTACTCATGAGAAATATTGCGCATTGCCCTTGGATTGAGATAATCGTCTCATTTCAGCTTCGTAGATTATCGTTATTTCTTTCGCACGAAGCACTAACAGAAAAGACAGCGTATGAAACTGAAATTAGCCTGAGAATGAACGTAACTGAAATTAACTGAGATTAGCAATATTTATCACCAAGTACTAAAACATATATTAATGTTATGTTATGTTCCTTTTCTAGTATCTTACAACATCGATCGTACTTTCAACACCTCACTGGCGCCAGATGGATCTCTATACAATTTGGGCCTGTCGTCCTTCTTGACATCTGATAACCCATTGTCAATATTCAATGATTCGGATGTCGACCTTAACAGCGGTGAGTAAGGTTTATTTTTCTTTCTTTCTTGAGATTAATGAGAATAGTATTTTAATCAAACATTTTTTGTTCATGTCATTTCACGAAATGTTTATCATTATTGTTTAGTCATTTCTTTACATATAAATGTTGTGAATCATTTGGAAATATAGTAAATAAGTTCCAGTTAGTCTCAGACCCTGTGATAAGGCCACCACGCAATATTCTTCGCTGTTGTAGGAATGGGCAGGTCCGTCCGGGAAGTAGCATGATCTCGCAGAAGACCGGCGTGAAGTGGAAGAGGTAAACTCCTGCGTTAGGTTACAGGGGCCGACTTTAATAAAAGTTGGCAGCGCATCTGCAACCCTACGGGTGTTGCAATTGTTACCAATGCTCATGGGTGGCCATTATCACTTAACATTAGGTGAAGCGTCAGCTCGCTCTCCATCTTCTTACATAAAAAAGACAATAATTCTTTCTATTGTTGTACAGCTAACAAAATAGAGGTGATAAATAGCAGGCCCACGGAGAAGCAAGATTTCAACATCAACGATTTCTTGAAAACGTTCGCGCCGAACGGTAATAACACAAACACGTCGGACAATAACTCAGGTAAAAAAAAGTTATGATGAACGAAGTTGTAAGCCAAAAGATGATACAATTTATTCGTTATATAATCTGCCACCTACTTTTCCTATCTGTGGCCATTGAAATACTCACAAGTTCTTGAAGGAATAGGCTTAGGTCTCTAAGTAATCCAGACTTGAGATTGTTGATTGTATTACCAGGGCCAGACAACAATTCGCAATGGGCAGGTTCGTCCGGGTAAGTACCACAACCTCAGAACACCGGCGTGTTATACTTGTGCATTTCGTCAGATGTGTGAGGTAGCCAGAGTCCTATTTATTAAAAGGTGGCAGCGTATTTGCAACACTACGGGTGTTGCAAATGTCCATCCAATTTTCATGCTCGCTTGCCACCTTCTCGCATGAAAAAAAAAATAATTTTTCTTCATAGAAAAGCAAAAGACGTTAGTGCTGGTCACAAAATGTAAAACGTTCATAGTTACCTTTACCTTGCAGTCACCAGCGGCACAATGTCACAGAAGTCCCAGGACACCTTGCCCGGCCTGGACCTCCTGACCCCGGAGAGCACGGGGAATCCCCCGCCACCGACATCATTCTACGGTACTAATACAATTGAGACTATAAGCGGTAAGTCCTCATGTCCACCCCAACTGCTTTGAGTGTTCACCAGAGGGGGCTTTGGTAAATTGCATGGGCTTTGGTAAATTGCAAGAGCTAATTTAATATTTGGTTTAAATGAACTGCACAAGATATGAAAGTATTATTAGTTTTTTTTAATGAGGAATTCTTGAATAATCATCTCCTGTGGAGATCTGCAGCATCTGTGGGAATTTATTTGCTTTGGCAATCTTTAAGACCCAACTGTGGTAGGGTCATGCAACAATTTGCACTAATGGCTAAGTCCGTCCGGGTAAGTACCACAACCTCGTGAAAGACCAGAAGTAGTGGAAGTGTTATACTTCTGCATTTTGTCTGATGAGTGAGGTAGTTGTGCCCAATTAATCAAAAGGTGGCAATGCATCTGCAATCCTATAGGTGTTGCAAATGTCCATGTGCAGTTATCACTTAATATCAGGCGAACAACTAACCTGGTGGCAAGCAATGTCAAAGCAACAGTCTCACATAAAAAAAAATTAAGAGGTTGAAATGAAGAAGCTACAATGGGACTACATAAATATTATGGTGACGAATCAAAACCTGATCCACCTTCCAAGCTGAATAAACTTGTTTGAGATTGCTCCATACAGGAATAGTATCAGTGGCAATATTTTCATTATTTCATTTGTTGAGTGTTACTACATTGAAATAAATACTAGTATCACTACACTTTCTAGTGGTTTAGTTAAATAATATATTAATTTGTTCATGCATGTTGGGCTGCCACACACTACATGTTCAAAACATTCACACCGGCACAGTTAGCGAAACGTTAAAAAAAAGCTGGAGTATAGAAATAATAATGTGTATAATAAAACAAGTAATAATCAAACATGAAGTAACTAACTGTGAAACATCTTTTAACATTTAAGAAGTTAAAAAACATTTACATTTAAGAAGAAATTTTTATAAAAGTACGAGTTCCAAAAGTTATACCTGACCATACCATAATTAAGCCCTAAGCCCCCATATGCAATATTTTCCCAAATTAGACTGAATGTATAATTTTCCTTTGCGTCTCCATATTCTCTTCCTTCAATTAAACTGGTTGAAGTACACCCTTCAGCGAGTAAGTAAAATACCTGTTCATGTCGAATACTCCGATGAATTGTTGAAATTGATTGCTGCAGTCTGGCAATAGATCTGTAGATAACCATTTCTTCGCATTTCATCTGCCCTAAAATCTTTGGTGGTGTTAATTCAAGCATTTTTATTTTTTAACTAAAGTGCCTACTATTGACACGAAAAAATTTACTTTTACTAATAAAATTCAGAATTTATAGAATTTATAAAATTTTTAAATTTCTCCTCAGACTAAGTTCAAACAACTCGGTAATCAGTATTATCATGAAGCAGAAACATATAGATGAAAAAATGTCTGTAGGCTTATATTCCATTTTTAAATTAATGTTCTAAATGGTAACATACCTGGCCAGTAATTTTTTCTTTATTCTTTATTGTACACAGAGTATAAGAGAAAACAAAATTACAAAACAAATAATGTATAAAGCGAGCTTAACCCTAAAAAGAGTTTTCTTCAAGCAAACCCTGACATAAGATTAGAAACAAATTATGATAGAAATATTCTGAAAAATAATGTTTTTTGTTGTGTTCCACTAACTGTGCCCATGTGCGTATTAATTATCTTAAATTCAAATTTGGTTGTTAAGTCTATTATCCTTTGCACTAAACCCTGTACCCTAACACCTAAATTTATTACTTCTGTTAAGAAAAACATTATTTTGGTAGTGAGTCTGTTTGGGATTAATGGGATATAAATTAATGTTTCTATCTTCCAGATGATCCTGACCAACCGTACATACCAGAAGGTACTACTCAATGGAACAATCATCAGAACACCTGGAATTTGCCTGTAAGTACTTTTGAATATTTTATTTTTTATTATCCTTTCGTATTTGCGTAGTAGAGATTACTTTTAGTGAAAGTGGTAAATTATTGCAACTTGATTGCAATTAATAAGATTGCTGTAATGAAGGCTAGTACCTGTACGCTATTTGGTATTTTCCTTTCGTGCTATCATTCCTCCGTGTGGTAATTGGGGCTTATTTTTTTCAAATGGGTGTGTGAGAAGTTATACTTCTTTGGCATCATTAAAAATAGTTTTTAATTGCATGCAAATAATTAATTACAATAAAATAATAAAAGAACTGGAAAAGAATACAAATAATAAAAATTATAAAATTATAAAAGCGCCATCTACATTCTTTATTGACAACTGTAACAGGCGAATGTGATTGAGGTTATGCGGCCATAAAAAAATAAGCAATTTAGCGGGCAGCTTCAAAACGTGTTACTTATGTGTTACAGTGATGCGCGCGCATCTTAAAAATTCACTCTCATCATTATTTTCATAACGCGCTTAAAGAGTAGCTCGTAACTCTTTCTGTCTATCTGTCTCGCTTTCACTCCAAAACTACTGAACCGATTTAAATGAAATTTGGTACACAGATAGTCTATTGCCTAAGAAAGGATTTTTTAATTGGGAAAAAGGGTTGTAAAGTAATAATAAATAATAAACAAATACATTCGGACACATTTTTTACACAACATTCTCTAGTCCCAAACTAAACAACGCTTATATTATGGTTACTAGAAAACTGATAAACATACTTAAACGTACATTTTTTTGGTAAGTAGATATATATTACACATATATAAACACCCAGACACTGGAAAAAACACGATGTTCATCACACAATATTTAAAAAAAAAAATGTAAAGTGTTGAAAGATATTTATTTAAGGGCTTCAACGCGAGCGAAGCCCCGGGCGAAAACTAGTTAAAAAATAAATAATGAAATTTAACCGTACGCACCTACCTTAAGCAGCGGACGAGTCCGATGCTGGGGCGGGGATTGTTCGCGGAAACGCCGGAATCGCCTCCGCCCGCGCCCGTGCCGCCGCCGCCCGCGCCCAACGCGCCCGCCGTGCCCACGCTGCCCACGGTTCCCACGGTGCCCACGTTGCCCACGGTGCCCACGATTCCCGCGATGCCCACTATGCTGACGGGCGCGCACGCAGAGTTGTACAACCAGGTTAGTATGACGATATTATACCAAGATGCGAGACATTATTGAAGCACATAACACAGCAAAATAACTGAACTAATTACATCAACATTTGTCTGCCAGTTATATAATATTAGGCAACTCACGTTAAAAATTTTCGTTAATAAAAAATATAAGTTAAAATACAATTAGTCAAGATTTTCCTGTAATATCTCTTGTTGCATTGGTTTGTATAAGCGCTTTTGCTTTATTTTAAACTTTAGTTTTAAACTTGGCGGCAAATTTTGGTTCAAGATAATAATAACAAGCAATGCTTATACAATGAATCTAGTACCCATAACATAATTCAACATATTTTCTTTTGTAAATAAATACGTATTATACATATATAAACACCCAGACACTAGAAAAACACTATGTTCATCAAACAATATTTTTCCAGTAGTGGGGATCGAACCCACACCCTCTGGCGCGGGAGGCAGGTACACTACCCACTACGCCAATCGAGTCGTCTAAAGTACTGTCAGATAACATGTCAATACAAGAATATTTTTTCATGTGGTAGGGGTAGTTGGTTTTCTAAAGCTGAAACACTTGATGATGGCTAAACAGGCATTAAATTCAGCTCAGCTATTTAAAAGTGTATGATTAAACACCTTTGCTACGCTAGCGCCATCATGGTGGTTCTTTCTTTAAAAGCTATTTGCCGCTTACAGCTTGACACTTTTAAATTTGACACCCATGTGAGATTGTTATCCTTGACTCTTCTCTCCATTGGCAATAGGTTTTAAAGTACTGTATGTAATCTCTTTTTTTTTCAGGACATACCTCCGGCGGATGTTGATCACAGGGGCATCCTGCCGCCGCCACCGCCCCCGCCGGTTCTTCCGATTTTAGGTCGTGAGTAGTTATTATACATTAACGTTTGGTCTTGTGAGTGACCTGGGCCCACTTGTTCATAAGTTTGCAATGCAGTTGCAACCTCACGGATCAATGGGTGTTGGATATTATTTACAACTGATTCTAAATAGCGCTTCTCACGCAAAAATAAATAATATAGTACCACACGACGTCTTTGGTGGATAAAAATGATTTACCTTTCCACTTTGATGGTTATTATTTACACTTTCTCTGAAATAGTAACAAATTGTTTACTTTTTTAATTGTTATCCCAACTTTAAAATGTAACTTGTACATAAATGTGTTATTGCTGAGTAAAGTGCTTTTCTTTAGATGGTGTAGCAGGTCAAGTCGTTAAGCGAATATTATGGTGTGCACACGCCATAATATATCTTCGAATATCTGCTGACTTGAGATTTATATTTTTTTTTTACTGCATAACTACTTATCAGATGGTATTGTAGTCAAACGCTTAACAATCCATTGTAAAACATGTTATTTCATTGTAAATGTATTATGCATGGTAAACTCACATAGGCTGTAATAAACATAAACAGTTAAAACAACAAGTGGCATTAAAAATATTCGTAGGTGACATAAAACACTTGTTTCCTGTGGAAATAAAGTCAGAATCCATGCTTTGTCATGCAGTAGCAATTTGAATGTTTATGTATATTCTTTTAGGTATTGAAGATATAGACCACAGGCTGCTGTCAAATCTTCCTCCACCTCCGCAGACTGTCTCTACAACAGCCATAAAGCATCCTATTTCACATCAAGGTAATGTACTATTGGCAATTTATTAAATCATTTTATAAATAATAACCATAAATAATCATAAATTATTTAATTTCAACCCAGAAGTCATCTTGTGTGTTTGATTCAATTGGTTATCCTTTTAACTTTTTCTGTTGAGACCCTATACAGTGCAACATGTATGAAGAAAACAATATATGTATAGTTATAATAATGGTGTGCCCTTTAAATAAAATAATCCAACCATATTTAGTCATTTCTTTAGTTGAACTTCCATTCATTAATTGCAAGACTGACATGGGGCCTTGCCTTTTAATCCGTTTGTCTAGAGCATATAATTTTTTACAATTGTTCCATGCTGATTTATATATTCCCTTGCTTGTATGCTTCCCTTAAGAAGTAAGAGAGACAAAGAGACTTCGGGTTGCATTGGAAAGGAGCCTTTTTAAAAATGGTTTAAACAGACATGAACAACTAAAGTCATAAAAGAGGCTTAACCTCGAAATGAAAGGTTTATAAGTCAATAATTTGTTTGATCTATTTTCATATTATAAATGTTGGCTCCAATACCTTTCTGGGGAGAAACATGACGGCTGGGTAAAAATTGAGGAATTTTGACTTCTACTTTTGAATTTCCTATTTCAGACGTCGATCACAGGAACCTAATATCGTTAACGCACCAATTGAGCGGTCGCAACCCCTATCCTGCTAAAGGAGACCAAGTAAGTGATACTTAACTTTCACAATGAACAACACATTTAAGATAATTAATTAATTGCAGATTTATTCTGCATTAACTTGTAACATTGTAACATTACAACTCATCTTACATCATGTTAAAATGACTTTTGGTAAATGTTATATAATATCTACGGCCCGTGGGTAGTGAAACGTTTAAATATGTATAATAAAACGAAAGTTTAAATGTGTATAATATGTATTTACTTTAAGAAAAGTATGTTATAACATACTGAATGTTCATCAGTAATTTAGTACCCATAGTGCTAGAGTTGCTTAGTTTGGGACTAGAGAATGTTGTGTAAAAATGGTTGTAATTTTCTAATGTTATTCTAATATGTATGTCCTTTGGCTAATTAGCTGATCCTCATAAAAGAATTTTAGGGTTTACGACCTCATCATAACAATGGTTTTGTGATGTTTTCAGGATTACAGGGTGCCCCCAGTGAATATGCCGAGCGATATTGTAGAAAGTGTTGATATGGACCTCTCCGAGGATGAAGACCACCGTAAGATTGCGTTTATATTGCTTTAGTTGTTTACAACCTTTAGGTTGGCATGTATGCATATTGCATAGGTGGCTGTGTGTGTCTGTGTGAGAGAATGCATGTCAATAGATGGTTGTTTCTTTGTTTTATATCTGTTTGTCCAACTGTTTAGTGTAAATAAATTCAACTCTTGATCCACAGCCTAGATGAGAATGCACCTCTGCATTCTTATCTGGGCTCTGGGTCTTAGATTTCCGACCATCAATCTCCTAGTCTTTTTCACTCATTGGTTGAAACGTGCAAAACATTCGCGGAGGTGACTTAGCCTCTTCCAAGGTGTCATCACAAATGCCTGAGCCTTGAACCCCCCGAATGAGGTTGTTTGTGAAGGTCTGACATGAACTCCATTCCCGCTCAGGGTCTTAGAACTCCGACCTTTCATTCATCTTTATTGAAACGTGCAAACCATTCGTGGAGTAGACTTAGCCCTATTCCAAAATGTCATTCAAATGTCTCACCTCAGGGGTAGTGAGGTTGATTGTGAAGGTCTGAATCACGAACCCCGCCCTGTCCGCAGAGGTCCACTACCCGTCGCAGCCGAGCCAGCCGGCGGAGCACGCGCGCCGGCACAGCTTCAACAACAACCGCGTGCTAGTCGGCGGCGGTAACGGCAAGCCCGCCCACAAGGAGCAGAACCACACGAACCTCATCCGGATCAGCAGCACCGCGGAGCCCAGCGAGGGGCGGGACCCCGAGGGTCCTAAATCCGCCCCTGCCGGGCCCATGTCGAACCCCTTCGACAGCATGCCGCCTTCACTGAGGCCGTTCGGCCCCGAGAGCGGAGAGAGGGACCCCAGGCCGCGAGGCCCCGGATAAGGCGGCCGAGGGCAGGAACGTTTCGCCGCCCGGCTACGAGAACGGCGAGTGGCACGCGGCCCAGGCGCCGAGGCCTTTCGGAGGCCAGCGCTTCCCGAGGAACTGGGGCCCTCAGGCCCGCTTCAGGCCGCAAGGCTTCGGCCCGCCGGCGCCGTCGCAGCAGCAGCAACAGTTCTGGCCCCGCAACGGCCCCCGCCCCCCCAACCGCTGGATGGGCCCGCGGCCGCAGCGGTTCTGGTGAAGTGCGTACAGTCGCGCGCGGCGCGTTACAGTCGAGTGCCGCGCGTGTACAGTCGTGTGCAGTGGAATACGTTCGTGTACAGTGCACCAGTGTTTCCGTTTGACGCCGCGCAAATTTATATCCGGCCGTGTTGCGACGCATGCAGGTTTTATTAAAGGATGGAAACAAGACACGTGTGTTGAGTAATGCGACTTATTATAAGATTATATGGTTACAGATTATATGGCGCAATTTGTTTGTAAACTGTGACCACTTAGTGACTCGAGACATGTTCAGATAGGAAATATCACATAATGAACGATGTTTTATTTTGTTTCATTAAACCTGTACATCCGCTGGACGATTTATTTATACACTGTTCGCGTAAATATATTGTATAATACCATGAATATTACTTTTAGACGGCAGTGAAAGATACTATTTCAAATGTACAATCCAATTGTGACAGAGTAATATATGAAAGATAATGTTTTAGCTTACCGGCAAAAAAGACGGAAACATGGAACAATCAAATTTTATTATTAACATACATTTGTAAAAATTATTTTGTTGGGATTACAAACGTACATATAAATAAAAGGCAATTATAATAGATAATAATTATTGTCCTTATGAATATCGTTGCAATAGTAATCCGTCCCATGATTTTTTAAAAAGAACAAAACATATATAAAAATATTACTTATAGGATTTAGGGATAAAAGAAGTAAATGAGGTATTTTTACTATACTTTCTTAAATAACATCTTAAAATTGGTATGTTAAGAGCATTTTAAGACTCTCAGTTCGAAATTTTAAATGTAAATTGTTTACAAAGTGTACAGTAAAGTCATCTTAATTGCTTCGTGACAGTATAAATCTCTGTCTGTTTGTATAAATCTCTGCGTCTTAGGTTCCTTCACGCGAATAAAATCAGCCCCAAACATTATAATGTCGCTCTTTCTTGCATGCATGCCTTAATTACTAAGAACTGCACAAATAACTGAATTATAGGGAAAAATAGTGACAAAATATTGGTCATAATATAGATGTAGTGTTTGGTGGAAGTCAATAAGAGGTTATTTTCAGTGAAATAAGTTTAATAGTTTTGATGCTTAAGTGATATCAAGTAGAATCACACCTATTGTTGCCTTAAGTTTATAGGTATGTCATAAAACGGCGTTAGGCTCATAATTTTTGCAAAATAGGGTTTTGAGATAGTAAATGCCGTTTATAATACATATAACGGTACATCATACAAAGTGAGCATATAACGGAGGGTTTGTTGACAAAACCTTTATTCTGGAAGCCCTTTACCTCCCTTTTCCAACCCATATCTTCCAATGAGCTATTTCGAGGTCATTGGAGACGCCACGGAGTACAATTTACCAAAGAGATCTTTTTCTGTTTCATCCACAGAGATGATTCATATTATTTTTACTTATCTACTAGGAGCTACCCAAACATTTTATGATTTTAAATTATTGGTGGAAGTACCAAAGCCTTTATGAATAAAAAAAAAAAGTACGTGGACATATTTAAAGATTCGTAAACGAAAGTATGGAGTATGGAATCATTACTTAAAGTACCGCCTTTAAGAAGTTTGTCGAAGACTTAACTACACTCGCGGGCATATTTAGAGGAATGCAAGTGACAGTTTGGAGTAAAAGTAACGTCTAATGAATTTTTTCAGACTAAACCACACTCCCGGACATACCGACAGGAACGCAAATCAAATTTCGGATTATCATTCTTGAAAGTACCGCCTTTAAGAATTTTGTCGAAGACTAAACTACATTCGCGACATATTTAGAAGAACGCAAATGAAAGTATTGGAGTATCATTGTTGAAAGTACCGACTTTATGAATTTTGTCAAATACCAAACTACACTCATAGATATTAAGATGTCTGCAAATGAAAGTTTAGAGTGTGTTCACCTTTAAAATTTTGTTGAAGACTAAATTGAACTCGTGGACATATTTAGAGGAACGCAAATGAAAGTATGGAGTACCATTGTTGAAAGTACCGTCTTTGTGAATTATCCGAAGACATTTATATTCGCGGCATTTTTAGAGGAACGCAAATGAAAATTTGGGAGCATCATTGTTGAAAGTACACACTAAGAATTTTGTCGAAGACTAAACTAAATTCGCAACATATTTAGAGGGACGCAAATGAAAATTTGGAGTATCGCTGTTGCGGTCAACGTGTAATGATAATGCATCGTGTAGTAGTGTTTACTTGGTACTTTACTTTACTTTTTATTTGGTTACTGTAAAAACAAATATATGTCAATTATTTCACAGTAAACATGTGACAGAGATTATGATCAGAATATGTATATCTACATATCAAGTTAAACTAATAATTTCTTAGCGGACGAAGACTATCGATATGTACAATCGATCGCTTGCCACCTTCTTACATTTTTTTAATATTAAAATTTATATGCTGTTGTCCCATTGCTACTCTTTTGGTAAATATGTGTTTTCTCCATGTGAGTCTCTTGTCTAGGTACATTCCCAAATACTTTACCTCATCTTTTTGGGGGACTTGTACTCCGTTTAATGTGACTGGAGGGTCACGTCACGTCAAAAGTCCCGTCTAGTGGTGAATGCCACTTGGACCGCGACTCGATACGCCAATACTTAAGCCATTTCGCAATATTGTCGAGGCTATTTTGGAGTTTTTGGGTGGCATCTGGAAAGTCGTCCGATGCCAGAACTGCTGTGTCGTCAGCGAAGGTGCCTGTTACAGTGGCTTTGGAAGTCGGTAGATCTGCAGTATACAGAAGATACAAGGTAGGACCCATGACACTGCCCTGCGGTACGCCTGCATGGATTGGACATAGTGTTGTCACTTCTTCGCCATGTTTTACAAAGAAATTTCTGTTTTCTAAATAAGATCTAATGAAGTTGTAATATTTGATTGGTAGCGATTTTTTTTTATCTTAAATCATGCCCATCATGCCATACACGATCAAAGGCCTGTGAGATGTCTAGGAATGCAGCTGTGCAGTATTATCTCCTTTCAAAAGCAGCGTTAATGTTGTTCACAAGCTTATGTCAAGTACATAAGCTTGTGAACAACATTAGTTTCAATAGTAGTACAATATAATAGTAGTAGTTCAATAGTACCATGCTGTTGCCCGAAGCCGAACTGGTGGTCTGGGATTAAGCTTCTTTCTTTTATAATTGGCGATGGTCTGCGCAAGAATAGAATCTCCATTACCTTTGATGGTATTCGCAATAGACTGATAGGCCTGTAAGATTTTACGTCTTCTAGATATTTGCCCGGTTTAGGGATCATAATGATTTGAGCCACTTTCCATTGTCTGGGGACCGTTGAAGTTCCCAATATGGGATTATAGATGTATGTTAGGAAGCGCACACCACCTTCTAGCAATTCTGTCATTATTTTTGCGGTTATCAAATCGTATCCTGGCGCTTTGTTTTGATTGAGTTTCCTAATTGCTTGATTAATTTCAGATATGGAGAAGCAATTTATTGGGAGGTCTAATTGATGCGTTTCATTAAGTATTCTCGACACTAATTCAGTCTGTGTAGATCCCTGGTCAGGGTTTGGTACAAATACATTTTTCAGATGGTCAGCAAATACCTGTGCCTTATCTGAATCTTTTATAGCCCAGCTGCTGTCTGCTTTGCGTATAGGGGGCCGTATTAGCATAGGGCGCTTAAGTTTGCTGGTCGCTTTTCGTAGTGAATAGTCAGTTGCGACGCTGGCGTCTAGATCTTAAAGGTATGCTTGCACATTTTGGTTTCGATTTTCACTGAGAAATTGGCGCAGTTGGGAAATCAGTTAATTTAGGGCAGTTTTATCAGTTGGGTGCCGAGTTTTCCGCCATAACTTCCGTGCTTTTTGTTTTTTGGCAACTAACTCTCTAATATTAGTCGGATAACTTTGTGATTTGGGGATGGTTTTGGAAGTTGCAGGTGTAGCGTGCCAAGCTGATTTTTGTATGCATCTATTTAGATGTTCAACGGCTGCTTCTATGTCCTCTTTTGTTCTGAGTGGTAGGTGTAGTTTATTTCAGCGGAGATTGACTTTCTGAAACTATTCCAGTCTGTTTTTCTGCTATGTAGTTGACATACGTTGGCAGTTAGGGTTATTTTTCTCTTTAACAGTATTTCGACTGGAGAGTGATCCGAAGAAAGTTCAAGCATTGATTTGCATTCGAAGTATGTGCCAGCGATGCCCCTCACTACTGCCAAATCAATTAGGTCTGGTGTCTTTCTTACATATGTGGGCCAATAAATTGGTTCACCAGATGAGATACAGCTAAGTTTCAGCTGATCTAATGCTCTCAGCAGCTGTCGGCCTTTCGGTGTAATTGTTCGTGAACCCCAATATGTATGTTTGGTGTTATAGTCATCACCAGCCACGAATCGCCATCCCAAGGTGTTGAAGAACTTCTCATAGTCGTCTTGTTTTAAATTATGTTTAGGAGCTGAGATTGTGAACTTTCCAGCCCAGTCCTCAATTACTATGTTTGTCGCTTGTATTTCATTTGTACCATAATTTGCAGTTTCATGGTGTCGGATATTGTTTTTTATTAATATGGCGCTACCTCCGTGTGCTGTGCCATTTGGGTGTGTCGTACGATAAAATTTATAGGAATCAATTTTAAAATGACTTTTATTGGTGAAGTGAGTTTCTGATATTAAGAGTACGTTGCCTTCTCACATAAAAATATTTTCATAAAACATTTGAATGTTGAACGTATCTATCGTCTAATGTTTTTTTTTCGGAATAAACTACACTCTCGGGCATATTTAGAGGAATGCAAATGAAAGTGTGGAATATCATTGTTGAAAGTACACTAAGAATTTTGTCGAAGACTTAACCACATTCGCGACATATTTAGAACAAAGAAAATGAAAGTTTGGAGTATCGTTGTTGAAAGTACCGTCCAATGATTTTCTGGAATAAACTACACTCGGCTCGGGCATATATAGAGGAACGCAAATGAAAGTCATTGTTGAAAGTACCGCCTTTAC